GCCGAACGCGGAGGCCGATTGTGCCTCTTTGTCGCTCGTTCCGCGCTCTCGCTTGCACTTCGAGCCTTAAATGGAACGCCTCAGAGCGAGGTAACGCCGCATGAGTCATGTTTTTTCGTGCGTGCAGCCGGCTCCATCGAATTATAAGACGTTGTCACGTCAAAAAATGAAGCTTGTATTGGGAAATAATGAAAGTCGCTATACCATTTGAGATTAACTCTTTTCATGACAAATACCTACGTATCAAGTTTAAGAGTGTTGCCAGTTCCAACAGCTTCTTTTAATAAATTAATTTCAAACAAATGAATACCTCAAACCCCGGTTACTTTCATCAACATTTAACTTAGGTAACGTACGGTACACTTACCAGTTCGTTTTTCTTTTACAGCTCCTGGCTCTGGATAACTCATCAAACGTCATTACCATAAGCGTCGATCCGTCAAAAAAAGTATCAGAAAACACATTGCTCACCCTTGAGGAAAGAACGCGGGCATACGCCATTCAACGTTGGAACGGGTCTCCTGGTTTAAAAGTGTGGGGCTACAAAGAACCTCAAGGCAACGAAACGGTTCAAGAAAATTCCAGATGCAACCTAGTTGAAGGCACATTTGAAGGTCTTATCTTTCCTCGTCATTTAAAACGAAACACCACATTTAAATTATACAGACGGGCCTTCTGTAGACCAGTTCCGTTCGTCTACGAAAGCGAAGGGTATACCAACGAAGGTTTCCACAGTTATACGTACACGGTTGCCGACAATTTTCTTGCGAAAGGTTCCGAAAATCCCGAAAATCAATGTTTTTGCCTCAACGGTAACTGCTTGCCGAGAGGCCTTGGTGACATGACACCGTGCTATTATGACATACCGATCGTCATGTCGCAGCCGCATTTCTTAAACGCAGATCCATCTTTACTAGCAGACGTGGATGGATTGTCCCCGGACGAAGAGAAGCACAACACGAAATTCATAATCCATCCCGAAATGGGTCTACCGTTGAAGGCGAATATGAAAATTCAGATAAACCTTAGGATGACAGACACGAAATATAACCACAAAACACGTCCTTTTAACAATCTCACCTTACCGTTGTTTTGGGTGGAACTTAACGCCAACGAGATCCCTTCGAGCATTTACTTGTACTTAACCTTACTTTACCACGTGTTGCCCGTTGTTCAAGAGGTTATGATGTACGTATTCGCGCTTTCTTCTATTATAATTGTGTCGTCAACAGCATATAAATTTCTATTCGCCGTTTCGAACCCACAAGACACGCGCAGGCCCAAGATAAACTACAGAATCGTGCCCTTGACCAAGGACGACTTACTATGTCCAGATGAGATAATGATACGAAAATAGACATGCATCACAAAATTAGATTAAATGCCAGTGAGAAGTGATAATTGTATAATTATTGAGGAACAGACTGATTTTTTTCAATTGTAAATATGTAGGGATTATTAGGTTAAGTAGTGTTGAATAAATTATTTTTATATAAATGAAAATCACTTTACTAAGTTATTTTATTTGACGAATGCATCTTCGCTCTTATCCAAGGTAAGTAATAGGACAGTCGTGTATATACATCTGGAAATCCAGGCTTAGCACAACCGGAACCGAATGATGTTATTCCTGCAAGTATCCACTGACCATCTTTGGAGGCGCATTGCAAAGGGCCTCCTGAGTCGCCCTGTAAATAACGCAACTCATTTATTGATTATAAATATGAGGCACCTACCACCTCTAATTACGAATCTTCCATTATAAAAGTCTATAGTTATTAAAAGGAACAATGACCAAAATAAACCAGAAGTACTGAAATACATTTAAAACACAGTGGAATGCCCTTTCGTTATTTTTGTCTTTGTTCCTTAGCTATCTTTCCAAGCATTTTCCAACGAATATTTACTGAGGAGTGCTTTAAGACAGTGAAAAGCATCGTCTGTCCAGGATGTTTTCGAGCACCCGTTCCAATACCAGTATGACAAACAGACCTCTTTATATTTCGTCTTTATATATTTTCCTTTCAAAAGTGTAACTAACGAAAAAAAGCGAAAGAAACAGAAGAAGAGATGCTATGAATACTCTCTGACTTAAAACATTATTAATGTTATTTGCAGTTACATGAGAAATAATTCGATTTGAATTGTTTTGCTAATTAACCTTTGTTTTGTGTAATTGTATAATTCTGCTTCAGAAATGTTAATTCGCAATGATGTTTTTGCTAATCATAATTACAGTTAATTGATAAACAAACTATCTACCGATTAACAAAACATGGAAACAATACATTCAAATTTATGCTCAAGCAAATGAATTCTACCAGCGTTAAGAAGTGTGATTACGTAAAGTATGTACGTAAAAATAAAAACCAAAACTTCATTTTATTTCCATTAGTTTATGCTGGTGGACGGATTATACGATCGAACTAGAAAGTGCAGAGTGGCGGAAGGAAGGGGAGGGGGAAATGTCCTTTTCAGCCTCCTTCAGGAATCGTGGAAATTTGTACCTTAGTCAGTGCTCAACGGTACATTATGCCTACATGTCCCCGAAACCCGACTAATTTCCGGGTTCCCGGATAAAATAATCCCTTTGAAATAATAACAAAAGGGTCTTCATTTAACAATCGCATTCTTTATACGGTGACCCAAAGCACAGTACTTACTATTTATAAGTATTGCGTTATGTAGCGTATATTTTTACTTATTTACAGACATTGATATAATTAATGTAAAACTTTAATTTTATTAACGAAAGACCCTGACCAATTTCTCGTTTTAGTACGAAGGTAAAGCGAACAGGTTCCTATAAAAAAAAGTTGACTATCACAAAACTAATCATATTGCTCGAAAGTAATTATTATCTTTCAACTTAACGGGCATTAGATTCCATGTGGCCTCCGGAATTTCTATGTAACGTTTTTTTATGGGGAAAGATACATACAAAGGTTAATCCAAAAGTAACAGGTCAATTGAAAAGTCCCCGGCCTAAAACACATTTTTTTGCAAAATTCGTTTTTTTTATTTAACATAATTCCTTTCAAGGGTGATACACTGATTATAGCGATCCTCCAACTTTTCGATACCGTTTTTGTAGTACGATTTGTCCTTTGCTTCAAAATAGGCCTCAGTTTCGGCGATCACCTCTTCATTCGACGAAAATTTTTTCCCAACGAGCATTCTTTTGAGATCTGAGAAGAAGAAGTAGTCGCTGGGGGCCAGATCTGGAGAATACGGTGGATGCGGAAGCAATTCGAAGCCCAATTCATGAATTTTTGCCATCGTTTTCACTGACTTGTGAGACGGTGCATTGTCTTGGTGAAGCAGGACTTTCTTTTTCTGCAAATGCGGTCGTTTCTCGGCGATTTCGTCCTTCAAACGGTCCAATTAAGCTATGTAATAGTCGCTGTTGATGGTCCTTCCTTTTTCAAGGTAGTCAATGAAAATTATTCCACGCGCATCCCAAAATACAGACGCCAAAACTTGCCAGCCGACTGTTGCGTTTTTGCACGCTTTGGAGCGGGTTCATCGTGTGCAATCCACTCCGATGACTGTCGATTGGACTTCGGAGTGAAATGATGGAGCCATGTTTCATCCATTGTCACATATCGACGCAAAAACTCGGGTTTATTACGCGTGATCATCTTCAAACACTGCTCTGAATCATCAACTCGTCGTTGTTTTTGGTCAAAAGTGAGCTCGCGCGGCACCCACTTTGCACAGAGCTTTCTCATACCCAAATATTCGTGAATGATGTGATGTATACGTTCCGTTGATATCTGTAGAGTGTCTGCTATTTCATTCAATTTCAATTTACGGTCATTCAAAATCATTTTGTGGATTTTTTTAATGTTTTCGTCCGTAACAGCCTCTTTTGGGCGTCCACTGCGTTCACCGTCTTCGGTGCTCATTTCACCACGTCTAAACTTAGCATACCAATCCTTGATGGTTGATTTTCCTGGGGCAGTGTCCGGAAATTCGTTATCAAGCCAAGTTTTTGCTTCAACTGTATTTTTTCCCTTCAAAAAGCAATATTTTATCAACACGCGAAATTCCTTTTTATCCATTTTTTTCACAATAACAAAAGTTGCTTCACTAAAAATGCTATAATTCACAAACTAATGATCCGACAGCCGTCAAATTTATAGACGCGTCTTTTGAAGGTTAGGACTAACTGAAAAACATGGATTTAGTTCTGGTGCCGCCATCTATGTGTCAGGCCGGGGACTTTTCGATTGACCCTAGTATTAAATAGAATGGAGATCCATCACTTATGGTTTTGGATGTTTATTACCAAAAACGGGTCTTAGGGGCGCAACGAATTCGGGTGAAACATGCTGAAAAGATAATCTACATCCTGGACATAGGGAACTATGTATCTTTAGAGAGTTTTACATTATCGCCGTATAAGATGTTACAAATCAAAAATAGCAAATTAAAATAAGGTGAGTTCAAAGCGTTCATCATAAACATCAACTTACTACGCAAGTCCCAGTCGATCCATCCAGATGTCCCGCACACAGATGTCCCGACTTTATTGAAACAGAGTGTCCGTACTTTTCCCGACAAACGGCGTTGTCATGCACGGGAATGTGAGACTCCAATAGCCTTCCAGAAAGATGGCCGTCTTCAGCGTCTCTTCCCCATCCCGTTGCGATACAGTGGGTCGTTTGATTATAAGTCAAACGGGATGATGGAAGACAAACAATTCGGATTCTGCTACTTCCTGAAGTTTGCACGGAACGCGATAATTTCATCAGAGCTACAAAAATGAGAATGTCAAGGAGAGATGGGATGATAGAATACCTTTTGAGACGTGAAGAGCTAGGTAGAGGCGTATTTGAAGCAGAAATTGGAGTAAAGAGGAAAACTTAGACGAAAAATAGTTAGGGATGTGGGATTTTCTAGTTTTCGGGAAATACAAACATTGGACAGGAATAAGAAGTAGAGATGCGACTCCAATAATCAGCATTTGGATTGACGATATCATAACATCGTAATGATAAAGAAATAATCGTCTCACTTTACAGAAAAGTAATGAAAAACTCAGTTATAAATTTCTCAAAATCGCCACATGTGGATCATGAATTCGAAAGTTGGTTTCGATGATTCACAGACCAAACAAAAGGTACTCCGTTCTAGCAAGTTGATTAACATCCAGTATTTCGCAGTGTACTGCCATCTATATTATAACAATGTTTGACTAGTATTAGCATTAAGAACTAGTAGCTAACTGAATTTGTAAAATGCTAATTGTATGATAATATGTGTTGTATTGTAATTGAAGATAATCACACATTACAGGAGTTTGTAATATTATAATAGATGCGTACACGTTTTGATTTATTTGACTATAAATGTAAACGCTTAACTGCATACATGTATAATTAATGAATTTCAGGAAATACATCTACGTTTATTAATTGTCTTTTGTTGTTGCTTCAAGATTATCTTCTTATCGTTTTACTGAATTGAACGAACCACAAATATCCATTTAGGTTGCTACACATTCATGTTTGTCGTAACAAATCTTTTTAATGTAGAATCAGCGGGTTTATTCTAAAAATTTTAGACTTTGTTCTCAAATGGAAAACTTTTGTTTTGCACAGGGTTTTACTGACCGTAAGATGGTACCCTCACGAAAAGTTCCGTGTAATTTGGCGTGTGATGCCAGTAAAGATGAAAGAAACCAATTTTTTTCCAATATTTTGTAAATTCATTTCCTTTTTTTTAGGAAACAGATGTTCGCACGACTAATCTTTTATAATGTTTTTCAGTTTTATAAAAACGTCAACAACTTTAGATCATCCTCTAAGTAACACTTTCGGCGACCCCCCTAACAAACATTACGACACAAAACGTACCCCCTTTCTATGGACGATTTCTTGTGATTAAAAAATGCAATGAGAATGCCAAATTAATAAAAACGTTAAATTAAAATTGATAAGCTGCGAACATATTTCCTTAACCCCCTTTCACCTTTTTAATATCTCGCCACGCTAAGCAATATCTCTCCTTCTTTCTTATTCGCGAAGGTATTTTATAAATGATCCCTACATGTGGATTTAGCTTTGTGAATGTTAACGGTATGCCCGGCGCCTCCACCATTTCCTTTTATTATAAAAGTTACAAAATATATATAGTGATTTACCGAAACAGTCAATTAAATATTGATAGTAAGATGGTAGAAGTAAATCCTTGTAAAGCCTGCCAAGCTCTAACTATTTTGAAAAAAGGTAAATTTTTACCTATGTCATGTTGAAAGTGATGAAATCGTTCATGAAGGATTATTTTTTCAATAGGAATCCGCTCTTCAGAGTATTCTTCTACCTGCTGGTCCCATTCTCCTAATACGGCTGTCCATAGCGCCGCCAATGGAAGATTAAAAAGATCACTGGAATGTAAAATGAAATCATTATGGTAAATAACAAATACCATTATTAATTACTGCAGTTAAAACTTCTTTCTCTCCAGTTGTTTCAGTTAATGTACAGTTGAAAAATAATCACTCTCAAGAAGTTACATTGTGCACTTAAGTACAGTATTTGCCCTTTAACGTGTTACAAAATGGAATAAAAGTAGGGCAGTCGATGGACATTGAGAAAAGAATAGTTAAAATTTAGGGTTCACATCGGCCTGCAAGAATATATTTATCTATGCTTAAAGGAATTATAAATAATGTCATCGTTTGGATATTGTTATCATGTTCAATAACACTTAATTTACACGGTAATATTTATTGTTTAACCATCATAAACAGAAGGGAAGGTTTTGGTGTGCTCAAAGGCCGTAAGATACTTTCTACAAGAGGGTCTTAGGTCTGCGTGAATAATACAACATTAAAGATTTTATTTTCTGACGTGTATTGAAAATGATATTACAAATCGTTCTATAACATCGATTTACTTCGATTACACAATATTTGGGTATATTGCTAAACCATTTAGTCATAAGAACTTTTTATTTTTACTGTCTTTATGTATGCGTTTTAATGACTGATTTTTTATTTACAAATTACCTACTTGTTTATACAATGCGCCGCCGTTAAAAGCCATTTCGGTGAAATTAGAACCCCGCCACACCAGTGTCCTAAAAATCCGAATTGTGGGTGAAGAAGCTGTAAAGAAACCTGAGAAAAAGAAAGTTTCAAAAGTATATTAAGCTTTTATTAAAACATAAAGTTGTTTTGCTATATATCTTACACTTATTAATACTTCATTTGTATGAACTCATCTATTCTCCCCTACCCCACTACCTTTCTTTGCCAAACTTCTTCCAATGTTCTAAAAAACCAAAACAACCCCCTATTCCTTAAAACTCAGCCCACCTCCATCCTCATTCACCAATTAATAGCATTCTTTCCATGTTTCACATATTCTACACCGTTTGTGTTCTTCCTATTTCCAATAATTATATCCCCTACACTCATTCCCTGTCCTAAATTTTTCTAATTACGCTTATTTATCTCCCTCCTTCTAAATAGGTTGGTATCCATTTCCCTTGCCAGTCCCTCCGCAAAATCTCCTTCAACCTCACCAATTATCGTGACTCCTCTGTTTTTCTTAAATCCTCTCCTCTAAAATTTCCCTGCATCTCTTCTACATCCATTACCCTATATTTGTTCCTTCCTTTAACTACTCCCTCGTATACTCCTGAATAACTTTCAATCCCTGCAATGTTTCCATTTCCAATACCTACTTCCTCCATATATCTTTCCTCAAAATCCTCTTCTTCCAGCCTCCCCAACTTCTTATATTTTACTATCTTTTGAATCGAACAAAATAATTCGAAGTGGTCTGTATTCTGTCGAAACTGCCAGACGCGGATCGCGATTTCGATCTTTTTGGATCTCATCAGCGCGTCGCAGGCAGCTTCGACAGAACACAGACCAACCTTTACCTGCTGTCTTAACAGCGCGGTTTAGAAAATACCACAAATGGCGTGGTGAGCGCCATCTGTAGTACGATGCTACATTGTAGGATTACGCATGCTCCAACAAGGTCCATTTAAAAATATGGATATCTACTTGCTGAAACGAATTCCGGCGTAGCTTACCTCAACGTGATAGGCACGTTACCATAATCGAACAAAATAATTCGAAGTGGTCTGTATTCTGTCGAAACTGCCAGACGTACTACAGATGGCGCTCACCACGCCATCTTTTGTATCGTTTCTTCGCATATCTTCCTACAGTTAGTCTCACTTCTCATTACATACACACATGGTTTACTTTTCTCTAATTACAATACCTGTTTTTTCCTCCAACCCCATACGTATTTCCACTGCACACACTATACTCCTCATCATCACATTAAATAGCATCAGTCTTCTAGCCCAATTATATTTACATAATCTCTGACCTAACTCCCATACCCTTCTCATTATTAGCCTTCCTACTACCACTTGGTTGGTAATATGCACTTCGTCCCTATTATTACCACTTAGCATTTATCTAGGATACGCATAATTCCTCACTTTTTCTACGTCTACTCCGTTCCATACTTTTCTGTTTTTCCCTTCCCTTTCTTCCTCTGCTTTCCCCAACATTCATAACCTTCGATTTTTCATTATCCAGTTCCAACCCTTTTTTACTAAATTATACTTTTCCACCATTCCTACTAAAATTCGAACTAGGATGCAAGATTTACACTAAACCCAAATTTGAATGCAAGTTTCAAAAGTATTTTAGACTTCATATTGAGAATCTGAGCAAGTAGACATTGATTAAGATCTGTCTGTACGTATAGGTACATATTTGAAGCATGAAGCTTTATTACCTGCCAAGGCCACGCGCCTCGAACGCTTTGCTTCCCATGAATAATTCGCCCCAAAGAACCGTAGCGCGGTTGTCTGGATCTCCTAACGCTTCTTCCACATTCTAAAAAAACATACGATAGACAATAAACATATTATTTAGATGAATTGATACGTAACATTTATTCCAAACATTGAACGTAGCCATTGTATTCAAACATACAAAAATACATAACATAATTTCCCAAGTGACATTTCTAATGCACTGCACTGGAACAAATTCGTTTAGATAAATTACTCATGAAAAGGGCAGAATAGAAAATTTTAAACAAAAATAAACCAGAGAATGCTATAGAAATGAGCGCTTCCATGATCATTTCGTATCTAGAAAATCTATAAAGAAAACGCTTTTAGAAAATCAACTGGTCTCTAAAGTCTTCTTTTTATTTTTGTTTAAAGCAGTAAAATCGAATGAAATAAGAGCACCTTTAACGTTTTCATAACGATTTAATAGAATTCTAAGCAAGAATTAAACGATTTCTTTTGCACTGGATCGATAAGAAGTACATACAAAATAATTAAATGTCTTTATCCTATTGTATTGTAACAGATACACGTACAATATACAAATATAATATGTACATATATTGCATTTACATATAAAGAGTAACCCAGATACATACGTAAATACAGTAAAACCGCTAATAATATTCTACGAGCTCACGAACAATAAAATGTCTACTTAAATGAAATATAATAAATCAATCAGTGAAACACTTTCATTTCCACATTGCAATTCTTATTCTTCAAACGGGACATTCGTACAATATTCATGCAGAAAAGTACAGTACTCGCGCATTAGCGTGGTGCAATCAGAAGCGCTCTAAGATTCCAGATTAAAACAAAGAGAAAAAAGATCAGAACAAGTCCTTTGAGTATATTGCTTACGCTCTCACCTGTTTCTTATCTTGTTAAATAAAGCCTAGAATATAGGGTTCTCAAAAACATGAACTTACGCTATCGTTTGTTCATCAAATTAAAATTAATTGTACATTATAGAGTTATGATTGATTTGACCACTTGGGCTTAAAACTTCTTATGTCTATCTATATATATACACGTAAAAAGATAATTAATGATTTTCGAGCAACGGAAATCCATAGCTAGCTCATAGGATTCTGCCATGGCTACCAACATAGCCCCTGGGCGTCAAAGCAATGAAAAAGGCTGTCCATGAGAAGTGAATACTGATATTAATGTGACTGCTTCCGTTCGTGCAGTTTTTTTATTGACTATGAATGCTTACAGGAGTGACAATTATTGTATCATTTTTGTCACCACTGAATTTGTACTTTGGTAAACAATGCTCAACTATGCGTTTCAGAAAATACTACAAACGGCACAGTGAACGCCATCTGTAGCACGATGCTACATTTTAGGATTACATATTTTTCAACAAGGTCCACTTGTGTGGATATCTACTTGCTGAAAACGAATCCTGGCGTAGCCAACCTCAACGTGATAGGCACGTTAGCTTAATCGAATAAAATAATTCGAAGTGGTCTGTATTCTGTCGAAACTGCCAGACGCGGATCGCTATTTCGATCTTTTTGGATCTCATCAGCGCGTCGCAGGCAGCTCCGACAGAACACAGACCAACTTTTACCTGTTGTCTTAACAGTGCGTTTCAGAAAATACTACAAACGGCACAGTGACACTTCGAATTATTTTATTCGATTAAGCTAACGTGCCTATCACGTTGAGGTTGGCTACGCCAGGATTCGTTTTCAGCAAGCAGATATCCACACAAGTGGACCTTGTTGAAAAATACGTAATCCTAAAATGTAGCATCGTGCTACAGATGGCGTTCACTGTGCCGTTTGTAGTATTTTCTGAAACGCACTGTTAAGACAACAGGTAAAAGTTGGTCTGTGTTCTGTCGGAGCTGCCTGCGACGCGCTGATGAGATCCAAAAAGATCGAAATCGCGATCCGCGTCTGGCAGTTTCGACAGAATACAGACCACTTCGAATTATTTTATTTAATGCTCAACTAATTCGGAGGGGTGGTAGGGTGTAGGATTGCAAGGTTTACTTTACATTTATAGCTTCTGTGTTACGTTAAAGCGCGAGAATAATACGTTAGCGAGTTTGAAAATGTGAAAGCAAACATAAAGAAACCGTAAATACGAATTAAGTACGTGGCATAAGTAGGTAAGTACACATTGCATGTTTATTCACTGTTTGTAGGAAAGTAAAAGTCTTATTCGGTAAAGAATTTACAGTCGGTAACAATCATCGATTCACGCTCGCTTTTAACATGTTTATGTCATTATCTTGAAAAGGAATCTCCCGCACGTTGTGCTGGAAACGGGAAACTTGAAAATATGTACTCACAACTTGTAATACTTATAAAAATAGTATGTAGGTATGAAGTAGGTATATGATAAAGTAAGCATTTTGAAAAAGGATTTACTTAAAACAACTGACCAAAAGTATATCCATCCTTGAGATCTTCAAAATTTTGTAATCTATCATGTCTCACCTGTCGTAAAAGTATTATTTCAGTCATACAATAACAAATAAGTTGTACCAAATGAAGTTGTCCTGTTACGAGTAACTAGTTCTTTTAATTGAAATGGACTAATTATTTGCAGTACCGTAACCACAAACATCGACAAAAAGTCAGGCGGTAAGTTTTTATAAGGAACCGAGAATCCACAATTTGCACCAGAATTTAATTTACAGTTTTAGATCACAAACTTAAATTAGTAAATCTTCGTTTAGGTACTTACCTACTTTATCACATTCGAATGTAAAGCCTACTTTGACAACCGTTTTATTTCATTCTGACTTGAACAAAAACATATAATGAAGAAAAAGGAAATATTAGCTAAAATCATTACTAATGTCTCGCATCTGATTACGATAATGCTTTGATAAATTGTATGTGAATCAACTAATTATATTTTAACTAATTATGGTTAATTCGCATTGAATCAAATCGTGTGTAAAGTGAAATTATTAATTCATATGAAAATTCAAACAAATATACAATCACTACTTAGTATAAAACAGAGTCGCTTTCCCGCTGTCTGTCCCTATGTATCCTTAAATCTTTAAAACTGCGCAACGGATTTTGATGCGGGTTTTTTTAAAAGATAGAGTGATTCAAAAGGAAGGTTTATATATATATAATACATCCATAATATAGTAGGGAACACTGATAATTTTAGAGGTTTCTAATGTGATGTCGTAAATAAACACATTTTTTTTGCGCTTACATTGCAAACGCTGGCTGAACCCTACAAAATAATGTACTACAGTATTGTACATCTTAAAAAGGTCTACAAAAAAGTCCGCGATGGTATATGTCCATCTCATAGGGATAACCCACAATAACCATTTTTTATCCTTTACTTTTTATGAGCAATAATGACTTATTTACGAAGCGATTGTAAGCAACACAACATTAATTCTTATTCAATTAAGTACCTTAAATACATTGTGCATTTAATATACATCAATATGGACCTTTACAGCATGTAACTTAAATGAATATTTTCGAAGATATTACAGATTTAAACTGCAGGGGCATAACGGTTGCAGCGGTACCGGCCGGTTTGTATTGTCTAATGACAAAAAAACTGTGAATGTAATAATATTCTAAACAAAACAAAAATACATTTAGTATCAGCATTCCACCCCTGCGAAGCTGGGGCGGGGCGCTAGTGTACGATAAACAAATATACTAGGGTAAATATCTACAGTAGTAGCTGGTGCAGATATTAGATCGCTATACAGAAAAAGAACATAGAAACTTGATAAAACATATTTAGATTTAATTGATAGAAAAAGAATGCGTACGCAAAATTCACTAATTTTTTGGCAAACTTGCACTTGACTTTTGTTCATAATTATTAAATTCCATTATGTCACTAGTGAGCTTCTTGCGAAACATTTTTTAAATATGCAAATAAAGGAAACATGTTTTTAAATCCTTCAAAAGATTTAATACAAAACTGTACAAAGTTGTTTCAATTTGTGCAGTCAGAGTAACCATTATCCACCGTAGGTATGAGTATGATTTCGATGTAGGAACTGAATAAGTCGGAACAATACCGAAGGGTTTTGTATAAACTCTTTTGAAACGTTACAAACCATTTCTCATTTATTTGCATATAATTATTACTCGTACACATCTACATGTTCGCTTTGGCACTTCAAACGGGAAAACAAATGCACAATTCAAACCACCTCCCAACACTTTTCACAGATAAAAGGAGATTGGAAGAAGGTAAAGAAAACAATGATAAGGTCGACAGGAAGAAATAAAACGCGATAGAATCATTACCTTGTACGGACGACATTGACCCAGAGAACGACGGCACTATTAACAACAATAACAATAACAATAAGTGAAGAAGTAACGGCGCGATTTGCAGCTGGCTACCCATAACAGTAGCATGATGATGTCTAATTTTGCGATCATCTAGAAGCATTGCTCCCCCAACAAGACTTATTCGTCGAAAGAGAGAGACAGTGAAACATTGGATATATCATTGCTTTCCACAGTGGTAATGAAAGTGGTCACTCTTGAACGCGAGACGCCCCAATAACTAGGCTTTCCTTGCTCGACTATTTAACCCAGATTAGATAGCTTATGAGATAATTGGTGACCGTTACGAACAATAACATACGTATCTACACCACTCTACCGTTTTATTTGACTAATAGAAAACATCAACTAAAAGTGGTTTTCTTTTCTTTTTAGTAAAAGCGAAAATTTGTTACATATGTAGACAATTTGCAAAGGACAATCCTTTTTTGGCAGGTGGTATAACTTGACCATTCATAAAAGTTCATTATTCATTCTGATTACAGTATAAAATACCGTTGTGACAATGTTAAGTAGGTACCTCATGGGTCATGTTCCATCGATATGAATAAATGACTACGCCGAAAAAAAAAGAAATCAGCACAAGTGGAACAATGCCTCTGCAAAAAATGTTCCGTGGATTTTAATGATTTCGCGATATTTTGTAGTTTAAACATTCCTGACCAAAAAATGTATCTAAATGGTAAGATCCCAAAACCCAATGCTTATTATACGAGGGTGGATTGATAAGTTTCCGGCCTGACCAAGAAAAACAAGGTTTTTAAAAATTTTTTTTTTTATTTCTCAACATAATCTCCTCCAAGGCTGATACATTTCTCATAGCGGTGTTCCAGTCTATTAATGCCATCTCTATAAACTGATTCGTCAAGCTCCTCAAAATAACCATTTACAGCTTCGATTACTTCTTCATTGTCCGCAAATCTCTTACCGCCAAGCCATTTTTTGAGATTAGGGAACAGAAAATAGTCACTCGGGGCTGGGTCTGGAGAGTAAGGAGGGTGCGGCATCAATTCAAACTTTAGATCGTTGATTTTAGCCGTCGCAACGATTGACGTGTGCGCTGGTGCGTTATCGTGATGAAACAAGATTTTTTTCTTCGCCAGATGAGGTCGTTTAATTTTCACCTCGTGGCTCAAACGTTGCAATAAGTCTGCGTAGTATTGACCAGTGATAGTATTACCCTTTGCAAGGTAATCAATGTATATAATACCTCTTGCATCCCAAAAAACAGTAGCCATAACCTTGTTCGCCGAAAAAATTGTTTTTGCCTTCTTTGGAGTTGGTTCCCCTGGTCCAATCCACTGTTTAGACTGTTCTTTGGTTTCAGGAGTGTAGTGGTGGACCCACGTTTCGTCAACGGTTACGAATCGACGCAAAAATTCGCTTGGATTACGCTTATACAATGACAAATTTGCGGTAGAAATGTTTTTTCGAATCAATTTTTGGTCGACTGTTAGCAAACGCGGCACCCATCTTGCACAGAGCTTTTCCATATGCAAATGTTGGTGCAAAATATGTTGCACACGTTCATATGACATCTTACAGGTCTCAGCTATCTCACGCACTTTCAATCTGCGGTCTCCCAGCACTATTTGATGAATTTTTTCGATCATATCTGGAGTTGTGACCTCAACGGGGCGTCCTGAGCGAGGCCCATCAGAGGTGCTCACACGACCCTTTTTAAACTCGGAAACCCACTGCTTAACGGTTGAATATGACGGCGAGGATGTCCCCAGTGTTGAGTCCATCTCTTTTTTAATTTCCTTCGGCGTTAACCCCTTCAAATAAAAGTATTTGATGACAGCACGATTTTCCTGCTTTTCCATTTTTACGAAAACCACAGAGGCGTCTTGTTCAGCGTGCTGTCAAACCTACACTAGCAAGGAGATCGGGCTGAAACTATAGCTACAAGCTATCCAAGGATGGTACTATAGAATGTCACCTCAAGGTAGGCCTAGTGGCGTCATCTCTTGGTTAGGCCGGAAACTTATCAATCCACCCTCGTATCTTCCATGGTTTCAAGCGAATTTCATTGAACCTGTATATTTGTTCAAGTGACTACTACTCATAATATAATCCCCCATGTTAAGCCGGTTTCATTAATTGATTGAAATAATTTATGGATTTAATGAGCTCGTTCAGTACTCTCCAACTAACCTTTAATCCAACGTTAGGAGCAGTTAGTAGCTAGTACATGCATCCATAATACTCTGCGATTAAATCTTTACCGTACAATACTTTCTAGTCGACGAGAATGGAACATAACATAATTTATGACGTTTTTAAAAGTGAAACTACATTTAACCTTTTATTAACACCCTTTAATATATAGCACCGTTATCTAGATCGGCCAAATAATAAGAAAGTAGAAGATGGTAACTGATAAGGAAATATATATAAACTTTTAGGGCATCTAATTACCTGTATACACTCTAAAACTATCAAAAAACTAATCACGTAATCTTGTGCTCAATTTTTTATCGAATTAAGAATATATACTCAATATTAATGTAGAATAGGCTGTCAAATTTGATTATATCGGAAAAAGGGTAATAAATATTGCTTTACCAAATCATTTAACCGTTTAACGAGAATGGTAAAAGTTCCATCCTAGCAAGGAGCAAACCAAGAGCACATTGGCAGTCCTTATATTGGGCTTGTTTTGGTGTAAGGCTTTGATATAGACCTTTATTTTACTAAATGTAGCCAAACATTACCATCTGTTTTATATGTAATTGGTAAAAGTATAAAGAAAGAACTTAAAACTATTCATGAAGTTTAACCTGCGTTACTATCAGTCAGGCCACTTCAACTTGTGCGAAAAATGTTTAAAACTTATCTTAATGAAGAATTTATGGGTGAAGTAAGGCCCATGCACATATAAAACTATCATCATCATCATCATAGGATCGTCAGTCCTAAAACTGGTTAGACATTCATCTCCACTCTTTACTAACTTGAGCTAATCTTCGCTTTCCCTAAAATAAGAGCAACCCATATTTATAACTATTCATAACTAGCAATCTAATCTAACACCTACGTCTACCTCTAGTCCTCTTAACTCATGTTTCTGCTTTCAATATGTCCACAACTAGCCCTTCATGAATGAGAAGGTACCCTATCACCCTATGTCGTCTATTTTTTATTGAATTCCACAGCGCCCTACTTTGTCCAATACCTCCTCATTCCTCCTACTTATCATTCGCCTGTAACACCACATTTCGAACACTTCTAAAACTATACTTATTTAATGGATATAACTGCAAAAAAGTCCAAATGGAGAGGTTTTGCGATTTTTTTCTCGACGAACATGATTACTAAATTACTCACTCAACTGAATTCCACTTCCTGGTCGAGAATAGGGGGAAAAATAGCATACCCACCGGGGTATGCGGTCTGAGATATTCTTTACTTTTTCTGCATATGAGTGCGTTATATTACTGTTCGCAGATAGTTAAGGATGTGGGATGTTCTAGTTTTAGGGAAATGCGAAGTTTAGCTCAGGATAGGAGAGAGTGGAGGTACGTGTCCAACCAGTCTTAAGACTGATGACCTTATGATGATGATGATGACGCAACTCAAAGTTAAGTATATGGAACTAAAATGTAATATATGACCCATGCCAAAAAGAGTTGATTACGTCCCTGTATAGGTACTTATTGGATTCTTTAATTGAGTCAAAAAACAAGTAAAAAGATCACTTTTCATCTAACAATATAACTCCACGACTCCCATTGGAAACTTCTTACCCTGAATAAGGCTTTCTATACCACGAAAACTATGTATGCGTAAAGTAAAAGTTGAAGTTTGAACTAAATTTATTACCAATAATGACAGCTCCTCAAAATGTTCGTCACACAATTTTAACATGAAATTATCTCGATTTATGGAGTATAATAACAAAGATTGTTATATGTAGGTACACACATAAAAACCTATAATGATATCTACAGATATTAAAATTTATGTTTCCACTTATAATTAAGCATCTACAATTTCGTCTTCATTCGTTACTCGAGTCTATTAAAATTGAAATTTTGATTGATAGTATTTAACACTTTCACGTGAGCTTAGGTAGTAATCTTGTCGCTTCAGCAAATTAGCTGCTGCCCCTGCTCCATGGCAAATTGATGTGACCGAGAGCGTTGAAAAGACGCTTTCATCCAGTAATCAAATGCAAATCTACATTCTTCCACATGGTAATTACACAAAAAGTGAATATAACGTTTTAAAGGCGGCCGAACTTTCACTTAAACAAAATAAACTGTTTCATTTTCTACTGAGCCTAATCAAGGTCATTGCATCGCGCAAATATATCAAAAGAAAAACGATACCTAGTACCATTTTAATTAAAACCACATAGACATGCCTACAGTTAGTATAAATTACCTACCTACAGAAATTAACATTATTATGATTTTTTTATGGGACACTCTGCAGCACATTATGAAAAAGTAAAAGTTCAGATTTTTGTAGTCGCCTTTTACTTTTATTTAAAAAATAGTCACTATCGTACAGTTAAAAGCATATTTTGGTAAATAAAATTGAATTATATATTATCAGTAACATTCAATAAACTATAATCAATCTTGCAATAGGTACCTTTTTACTCTATCACCCTACAATAATAAGGTACCCTATTGGCACGTAAATTTACAGAAATAAATAAACAAGAAGTTGTTTTACCAAAATTACATCATTAATAAACAGTAAAATTACTAATATTATAAAACCTTTATTATAGTATCAACCTAAAATTAGGCATACAAGAGTAATAATTATTTTTTTCAACTTCAGTTACTTCTAGTAATAAAGAAACAAGTAGATGGCGGTATACTGACAATCTAATGACCTTTTCTTAAAGCACTTTTTTAGATATTTTTATTTTTATTAAACTGTATTTTTTTGAGATGTATCTATTTGGAATTACATTCGACTGTATTGTATGCATATGTTATCGATAAACTCCGTTTTGAATGAGGAATATTTGGTATTTTAAAATGTCTGTTTATTAGGCAACAACCTATCGTGCACTCAAACTAAGAAAACCAAAGAATATACCAGAAAAGGATAGGCGGAATATGGGTCCTCTCGAATGCTTAGCCATAACGTAAGCCTTCGATAACGAATATATAACAATGTGCCATATTTATTTCCCTTTGCATTATAAGTAAACATCGATTACCTCTTTTTCCTTTCTTTCTTTTGGTCTACTAAGGCTGGTGCCAAGCAATCGCTTAAACAAGCATCCTAATATATGGATGGAAGGAAGTAGGTGAAAAAGGGGGATGAAAGATGTGACCAACAAAATGAAGACAGAAGGGATGTGAAAGCTTTTTTGTGGAATATGTTAAAATGCTTCAAGGAAGTCATAAAAAAAGCCAGTAGAGGAAAGGTGGATCCGGCATAGAATCGAACCGTCTAAACCCATTTTTCCCAGTGTTAAACAAACGCTCTAAAGGAGGTAATTTAATTGTCAAGGGCGACTATTCCAAAATGGACCGTTTATAGTTTAACCATATGGAGTTGTTTGTCGTTAGCCTTCTTTAAGGGGATAATAAAGGCGCCCCTTTTGTCCTTACCAAGAATATATACAAATTATAGAGTTTAATTTAACATATATGGGAGGGGGCGACATAATAACTTTAGGACAGACGTGAATCATGTACAAAAAATTTTGGAACACTGGTCTAGGTGCCGGATATTTCGTATATTGTTAGTCGATTACCTTTATGCTAAAACCAACATATTGACGAATTGGCTGAACATTCGCTAGCCGCTATATACGCCGTTGTGTAAGACGCCTAGCCCTAGTTCAGAATAGGCTATACATACATAAATGTATATTCAAGGAAAAGTGCATTAATTTTAAACACTGCAGTTAAAAACATAATGCCCATTAACAGTGATTCAATTTTTTCTTGTGTATATAAATAAAGGTTATTGAATTAAATGATAAATCCATATTGTAACAAAATATTTATTCAATAAGAACAACCTAGTGACAAATTACTGTATATGTAATAAAACTTAAGGAAGTAGGCTTAAAAATGCTATCATCATTAAATATTATTTATTCCAGTCATCATCATCCCATCCTACAGTATTATCAGTATCCAGGTTAACGCTAAAGTCCAATTTTTTAGACGTTATTTCTAAATTTGGTTCATTAGCCTCTGGAAAAAGTAATACTTTTGAAACATTTATTTCAGGTTCCATGCCCTCAAATAAATTCAAATCATTATAATTTTCTATTGCCACTTGGTTCTTAATATCAAGTTGGAAAATATCTGGTAACGATCTGTCCATTTTCTTTGTATAGTTTTCACTCTTTTCTGTTGTTTTACTTTCACTATTTTGTACCTCATTTTCATTTACATTTAATTGTTCATTTTCTAGGGGGGGATCTTCAACATGATTAATTTGATTCCAGTCATCCCAACTGTTTAGGTCTTCCTTAGGAAGTAGTGTTTGATTCTCAACTGATAAATCATTTTCTTCACCATCAGGTCTTGGTCGTTCTGGAAGTGGATCAAATACGTCTAAACTATTTTCTAGAACTGACTGATTGCTAGTCAATGAAATATCAGGTTCTGTATTGGCAACTACTGATGGTAAAAACCTTGTTTTTGAATGTGCAATTTTAGATTCCATTGAATGTGGCTTTCCATCATTGAATAATTTAGCTCTCCTGCCACCAATTACAACTTCAGCTCCTAAGATTTGAACCATATCTGCCAATGACCGTAAAGTGGCAGACACCAATTCATTATTTATGTCTTTAATGCCCAGCAAAAGCTAAAAGTAAATATTTTAAATACTGAACTGTTTTGATAGTATACTAATACTTCTGGTAAAACTTGATGCTTAAGTTCATCCTTAGAGAAACAGTTCATAAAACCTCTGAAGTGTTCTAAAAGTAAAAGCCTAATTTGTATGTCTCTTACACAGAATATTTCTAATAATGTAGGAACTATGTACTTCTTAAATGTTTCTTTACAAAACAACTCCACAGTAGAAGAATCTAATAATAAAACTGATAATTAATTTTATTTCCCAAATTTGAATTGAAGACTCTTACCATCGTTTCTAGGGTATAGTATAAATGGCAGCAATTTCTTCTGAGCTGTTTCATCCAGGAGAACTAGTCTGGATAGCAATAACCTGCCAAGTTGCTTGGCAGTTAATATTTCATCAAACAGTTTTAATTTTTCATAGAGCGTAGAAAAGAAAACCTCTTTTGCTTCATTTGATTGAAGAGGTAATTCGTACAAAGTGGAATAAACTATGACAAAGTCATTTTTAAAGAATGGATGTTCGAGAAGTGTAGACAATTTTGGTCTTTGGGTTAAATCTTCATTTTGCAAGTTATTTTTACATAAATCACGAAATGATGAAAGATGGGACAGTTCATCTAACAATAATAGTAAATTGAAAAAGACAAGTTTACATACATATGAAATGAAAATAGAAAGTATACCTTCCCCCTCATTTGATAATATCTCATATGCCAGTAATCCAAATGCAAAAGAATCCAAGCACTCCTTATATTTATCAGTTTGTTGAAAACTTTTTACGAGGTTTATATCCACAGTGATATGTTGAAGATTTTCAATTTTATTCAAATAATCTGCAGTTAAATTGCTAAATTTGCAGCAAAACTCCATGCCTCCTAATTTCCAATCTCCATCCTTGGTAACATAAATTGATTTAATAGATAAATTGTTATGCGATACACCACCCTTTTCATGTAAAAAGCAAACAGCTTTCAGTAAAGACAAAAGACCTATACATTTCTGTAAACAGTTTTGTGTATTTAAAACAGATGCTAAAGGTACCACTTCTTCTACTACAAGATAAAACTTTGAGTATCTATACCAGGATGATATGTATTTCAGTATGCAGGGATGCCGGAACACCATAAGATTCTACAATTAGTAACCCTTATAAAATTAAAGTCTATTAACAACTGATAAAGTATATTTATCACCTTGGCAGACTTCTCTATCAGAAATTGAGAACCATCTGAAAATGTTATAGGAAGACGACGACCAACAAAGACTGAAACAGGCTGATTTACAGCAGAATGAAGGGACCAATATTTGCAATGCTCAACGACATTTTCATTTATATCCACATCAAACAAGTATGACTGTTCGTTTCCCATAATTTATTTAATTAAATATTCAACTATAACGGGATGACATATTATTGTTGACAACTAACCAAACAAATAAATTGACTTCGAATTTCAAAATGTTTGTGGTTGACTACGTATAGATGGCACGTAATTGAATTAATCATAGAACTAGGTACAATTGTGCATTTGTGATGCGTTCGGGATTTCCATGAAACAGAAACAACTTTTCATGAAAAGCCGAAATACAAGACACCCTTAAAAAAAGAACTCTTGGGTGCTCTACTTCACCAAATACCAATGCTGGTGAACAGGTAATCCCTTCGGACTACGCCGGAAGTAAGGTTTCTTCAGTCTCCCATTTTGGAATCATGGGAATGGGTGGATGGTAATTCAGCAAAAATAGATGAGAATGACGAAATAAAGACGGAAGAAAAGTCAGGGATTATCTGTAGAATATTATTATTATTGTCCCTTCCAGTATTCGTTCAATAAGTGATCCAAGGAAATCGCAGAAAAATATGGATCAGAGGACTAGGGCAGATGGACCCAAAAACGATTCAGTGTCTTCCTAAATCAATAATCTAAACTTTTAGATCATGTCGCTGTAAATATTGCTGGAAGGGCAGTCTATCATCCGGGCTACGTCGGAGAGTAGGGTCTTCATCAACATTCTTTTAAGAATCATGGAAATCGGTAGATGGTGGCTGGGGAGAGAAGGATGAGATGAAAGAGAAGTGAAAGATTGTCCTTAGATTATTGGTGTCCCAGTATTTGCCTAAATGATCCAAGAAGATAACAGAGAAATTGGGACCTAGACAGAAGGACTTGGATTCGACCGGTGTTCCCCCGAATGCAAATCCGCTTTGACATAAACGCCGCTCAAATTCCGTCCTTCTTCTACAAAATCAGTTTCCAATTCTGTATAAGAAAGCGCTGGTGCAAAAAAAAACTAGAGTATCTATTTTTTCTTTGTATTTAATCATAACTCGTACAAATATACAATACATCTATTCATTATATAAATGAAGTAAATTAATAAAATCTTTTTTGGCTGTAAGAACTCTTCGAATGTGCTGAAAGTGATTGAAATCTGGTAGATGGTGGTGCCTTATTTTCATAAGAATCTCTCCGGTTTCCAAAAGATGCTGACTGCTTGTTTCCAGATTGTGAACGGGTATTAAATTGCGAACATCTAATACCACTGTTCTCTATTTTTTCACACGTACTGATTTCCTCATTGAAGACCTCGTCTTCCCCACATCTCAATAATCGTGGCCTACCATTAAAGCACAAGAAGTACTGCTGGCAGTCAGTACTCGATCTATACAACCGATTCTCTTCTTCTAATTCAAATCCGTTGAAATTTTTGCGAGCGTTTGGGCATGAAAATCCCAAATAAGCTAAAATATGTGAGTTTCAGGCTTTTAAAAACAGTAACTGTGTTAATATACATATAAGTGGTATTTCTTTTGTGCATGAACTGTGAGATATACCTAATGTAATTTTACTGAAATATTCTCAGAACATAGTTTTACCTATTTATTAATTGAGTTCTGCTATTAATATTTCACATTTAATTTTTTTATATGCTCTTTTTACTTTCATTTCTTACTTTGTCTGGAAGATCAGTCATTATTAGCCCGTTCTTCGGCTACAATAATTGTTGAAAATACTCTCGTAAATTTTTGTTCAAAATTAAAATATCTAAGAATAATCCTGTATGTTTGATCGAAAAGAAAAATAGAAATAATCAAACCTTCGGCATCACAAGAAGGTACTTGATCTGGCCAGTCGCATTTATAAGTTTCTTCATTGAATGCAAGGCCTTCTGGGCAATCAATAATATACGCTATCCCGTTTGCACAATTCTTAAATTGACCGCAATTTCTTGCATCCCCATATTTATAAAGGCCGAATTGATGAGGACAATCTTCTGTTGGTTGAGCTGGTTCTAAAGGTTTAAATGAAAAGTGCACAAAAATCAATTTATTTTATAGGCATTGAAGAAAAACTGTATCACCATTTAATTTTTTACAAAATCATAATAGATAAATGCGTGTTTTCATTTTCAAGTCTTTAGTTGTATTTGACAGTTCACTCTGTTTAAAAGAATTGTTTAATGATAGTTATGCCAAAAACATCGGGTTGTTCGGAAAGTCATTTCGTTTTTTCCCGACAGAGGATTTAATTGTATTCTTTTGCACTTAACTTCACATTTAAGCCGTATAATTTTTATATGCTTTGAGAGCTCATATAGCAAGGCTTGTGTGTGAAAAATTCTAATTAATTCTACGCACTAGTTTTTGGTTGGTGCCCTTTTAAATATGGAGAGCGATAAGTAGCATTTTCGACATATCTTACTGTTTTACTACAGAAAGGGTAAAAATGCTGTTCAAGCCAGAAAGAAATTGACCGATGTGTATGGAGAAGGTGTGTTGACAGTACGCCAGTGACAGAACTGGTTCGCTAAATTTCGATCCGGCAATTTTGATGTCGAAGATGCACCACGTTCGGGAAAGCCGGTTGAAGCTGATAAAGACGCGATAAAGGCATTAGTTGATGTGAACCGGCGAATAACAACACGTGAGATCGGATTGAGGTTAAATTTATCAAATTCAACAGTTTATGACCACTTGAAAGGCCTGGGATTATCCTCGAAGCTCGATGTATGGGTTCCCCATGTTCTCACAGAGAGAAATCTGTCAAACGTCACGAAAATGATCCGTTTTTGAAGCGCATCATCACTGGGGATGAAAAATGGGTTGTATACAACAACGTCAAACGCAAGAGGTCATGGAGCAAAAAAGATGAACCGGCTCAAACCATTTCCAAAGCCGATATTCACCAATAAAAGGTGATGCTGTCTGTTTGGTAGGATTTTAAAGGAATCGTTTTTTTTTTGAGATTTTACCGGATAGCACAACGATTAATTCGGAAGTCTAGTGTCATCAGCTGGACAAACTGAAAGATGCACTTCAACAGAAAATGTCAGAACTAATCAACAGGAAAGGTGTAGTGTCTCACCAAGACAACGTGAGACCTCACACAAGTTTGGTCACTCGCCAAAAGCTTTTACAGCTTGAATGGGATACAATGCTACACCCACCATATTCTCCAGACCTGGCACCATCGGATTATTATTTGTTCCGGTCACTCCAAAATTTTTTAGACGGTAAAACCTTCACCTCAAATAGACCAAAAATTTTATGAGCGTGGAATTATGCTACTACCAGAAAGATGGCAAAAGGTGTTGGACCAGAACGGTCAATATATAATTTAATAAAGTATTTGTTTATTATACGAAAACTGTCTTTCATTTCCACAAAAAAAACGAAATGACTTTCCGAACAACCCTATAAAACATAAGTAAATATTGCATGTAAGAATGCCTGAATTTACTACAATTCAAGATCATTCACACATGTCCTCTAAAACATGTCATATCTTTGTATGCTTCTCTGCAAGTTTTATGTCTTTAGAAATCACCTTCAAGCATTTTTTAAGTATTGCATAAGCATAAGTTACCAAATCATGTTTAAAAATTTACTCACGAACGCTACTTCTTCCTCTACAATCAACTTCGTTAGGGTACTGACAAGGATAATTGAAAAAACTACTATTAGCATTAAACAGTAATCCATCGGGACATAATTTTTCTTCGGCAACGCCATTATCGCATTCAATATAGCTAAAAGAATATGTAATTGTAAATTATGAGCAAATCAATAACTAAATAAGTAAATATGGCAACCAGATGCAATTGTCTTATAGCAGAATATAATTTTTTCATTTACAATTAAAATAAACTAAATTAAATTGATACAGGAAACTCACAATAGATTTAGTTGAAGACAATCATCGAATATTTATTGAAATAAGTGTAAAGTTCTGATGAAAACTTAACCGTTTAACGAGAATGGTAAAAGTTCCATCCTAGCAAGGAGCAAACCAAGAGCACATTGGCAGTCCTTATATTGGGCTTGTTTTGGTGTAAGGCTTTGATATAGACCTTTATTTTACTAAATGTAGCCAAACATTACCATCTGTTTTATATGTAATTGGTAAAAGTATAAAGAAAGAACTTAAAACTATTCATGAAGTTTAACCTGCGTTACTATCAGTCAGGCCACTTCAACTTGTGCGAAAAATGTTTAAAACTTATCTTAATGAAGAATTTATGGGTGAAGTAAGGCCCATGCACATATAAAACTATCATCATCATCATCATAGGATCGTCAGTCCTAANTAGAAGTCTTTGGGAACACATTTTGATTATAAGTCTTAAAAGATTCTCTTTGTGAATACTGGCAAAAAACTACAACGAAACAAATCATTAAATACAATTTTAGAGAAGACTAAAGCATCCTATTGTTTATTATGTTTTCACAGTTAATTGGTAACATAAAATATTCAAAAGTAAATTTTTAAAATTCTAGCGTAACAATTATCTATCCTTGACCTTTTTACAAACTGATTTAACTGGAAACATAAAAATGTGATATTTTACTTAATTTCAGTAGGTATAGTGACTTCTCGAAATGTTCTAAAAGAAGATTACTTTGAGCACATCCGATAATAATTAAGAGCTTCTGATTTATTTTTACTTTTGCTGTTTTAAATCACCAAAATACGATAATTTAATTGAACATTTCAGTATACTTATAAACAAACTAAATATGCAATAATCCCAATTTATTATTTCGTTTATTTTATTCTGAGCTTAGTATATTTTAATAAGATATATTACCTGGTACCAAAACACATAATAAACACAACGAAACTGTAAATTTTAACATCATCATCATCATGAAGAGTAACTGCTTCTGTTGCGATCGAGAGAAGATATTTGTTTAAACAAAATACCAAGGATCACCTATAATGACCTTTAAAAAGCGGCCAGTAGCTATTCACTACCTGCTATTTTTGTAAACAAGGTAATTAAATAAATTCTACAGAATAGCTAATACATTTTCGACTATTTTTTTATAATCTCTTTTTCGTAAAAGGGTGAATTTAGGATTGGATTTGTTTAGCATGTAAGAAGGAGACAATATACTTGTTGATTAGAAAATTAAATAAAAAAGTGCAAGTTTCTCAACAACTATTTAACACTGTTTATTTATCACTAAAACATTGCTAGCTAAACTTTCTTTAAACATTGCAAAATTGTTTTCTGAAAACAGACGCAGATCGTCAGCTTAACTCAACAACTACAAAACTGATTTTTCTCGTAAAATATTGGTAATTGTCGTAATTTTAGTACAAAATATATAATTTCAGAAGTATGGAAATATAGTACATTTTCGACAATAGTCTTTCATAAAATTAACCGTTAGCCGTTTTATTTTACATTTTTGATATGATGTAACAGAAATGCATCATAAGTTTTAAAATCAAGTTTACGTTTTTAGTCAAACCACTTTTTGCACTTAATTGTACTTGCAAACAAACGTAGGCAATGGTTGCTAAGAAATGCAACTGAATCAAAACATTTCTACAAGTTTAGTCTAACACAACCGTTAGACGAGCTTTACATAATTTTAACATGAACGAAGAATTAAAATTAGTTATAAATAAGTTAAATACTTTACTGGCAACCGACTTAAACATAATTTCGATTAATTCCTTATCGGATACTGAACTACTACAACTTGTAATTAAAGTTTTGCATCATCTTGGAATCTGCTCATTGGTACGAACATTATACTTATGATTATTATAATTTTACTTATACATCGCAACGTTTTTGATTCTTCTAAGGTCGGTGCTGAAGAAAATAAAGAACTAACAGTTTTCGTTATATTGGAATCATTACGAAAAATTAAATATGTCCCACCGTCTGAAATATCTCCCGAATTGTTTAGAGATGGACTACTTAATGTAAGTTAATTTCAATTCATAGATTTTATACATAAAATTGTATCTGTTAATTTTTCTCCTCAGGGCAATTTTAAAATTATTATACAACTTTTATTTTGGTTATTACAAAATGAAACTGAAATAGGCAAAAGAGCCTATTTGTCAAAGTAAGTAAGCAAAATACCGAAAGAAAAGTGTAATACAATTTTATTTTTCTGATTTAGAATTTGATTAATTTTAGTAACTTCAATTTCGGCTGACATTTAAGTTTGTCCAACACCTATTTAATTAAATCAATTCTGATTCAAAAAAATAAAATTGTGTTAAGGACGTATCTCTTTTGGTTCAACTCGTATGTGATTGAGATCGTACATCATAAATTTATTTGCAAAAAAGTTATTTAGGTGGGACTGGGAGATAAAGATTAAATGCATTAAGATCATATTTGGAAGAAGCCTTTGTACAATTTTAAAATTTCAATCAACCTTATCTCAGATTTGTATTTCGATTATTAGACCCTACTTATTTGGTCATCTATTTAGGTTTCTACACTCTATTGCCTTTTTTTTTAATAATTTTTATGCAAGTTAAGTATCACGTAGCTTAGATAGAATAGACAGGATTGTTTTTCACGTTAAAAAATTCCATTCAGCATCCTATTTATAATAAATAATAATAATAATATTGTCAAACATTCATTTAATTTCTACTTTAACGATGCTTAACGTTACAAACATCAAACATTGTACATCATATAAGAATAAGCATTTTTTTGAACTTTGCTAAGATATGTCGAAAAAATTGACATTCCCCTGGAAACATTGAGTGACGCGAATGTTCAAGAAATATACCAACAGTATGAGTCTAAAATTGAAGAATTTTGGAAGACGTACAGTTTGTATAAGCGAGAGAAAAAGAACGAAGAAGAAACTGTAGAACTGAAAAAAGATATAGAAAGAATGGATTTTGATCTCCAAAAATTAATCCAACGAACCAATAGCCAAAAAGAGAAAGTGGAGAGTATGGCAGATCGAGATATGTTGCTAACACTTGCTAAGGCTTACACAAAAGAAACAATGGAAGAGAAAAAATTACAAGAGCAGGTCTGTACACTTCCAATAACTTTTTGAACTTTATTTTTTTTCAACATTTACAAAAATCATTGCATAAAGATTGTCAAACTACAAGAATTCTTCTTTCACTTTAAAACATGTGCTTTTGGGATTCGCCATGGTCGAATGGAGTTGGCAATGGACTGCGGCGAATGCAAAAGCCTTCAGGACGAATATAAAATTCAAATATACTCCTTTTTATTCCCTAAGTAATTTAAATAGGTAATACAATCAAATAGAATAGGAATGAATTTATTTCAGCTTATGACTCAACAAACGTCGCTAAACCAAATTGAAAATCAAATTAAAATTTTAAATGAATCTATATCGAAAAGAAAAATATCAGAACCTATTAGAAACAAACCTTTGGAATATTTAGAAAGTGATTTTCAAACTAACAAACTTCTCGCAGAAGAAGAACTACCAAAAGAATATGAGAAGCTCAATTTGGAATTGGGTTTATTAGAAACTGTGTTGAATGAACCAGAGCCGATAGAAGCTGAACTTGAAATGCTCAGTGAAGAGGTACTTACATATTTAAAACGAAAAGCTTTCTATACAAATTAAATTTTATTTTTCATAATATACTTTCCATAAAGGTAGAAAAACTGCAACTACAAATACAAAGCCTCTCAGAACAAAAGTTGTCTTTGGTGCATTCAAACAACGATATTCTTCGTCCATATCAAAACCAAGCAACTGCGATAGAAAATAAGAAGCAGCAACTGACAAAAACAGTCATAGAAAAAAAAGAATACTTAAATAAACTGAACAAAACTCTGACCGAGAAACAAGACAAATTAGTTTCGTATGTTGGAGGGCCGGTGCTGCATGGAGATGAACTGCGAAGTTACGTATCAAAATTACGTGAACTAAGCGTGACTTACAAAGAGAAAAAAACCCAACTTCAGGGTCTTTTTAATGAGCTTGGTATTGTCAGCCGCACTTATGAGATTCTCAATGTGATCGATCCCAATATTCAAAAAATAGTTAAAGAAAAAGAAGAACAAGATAAAAGTGCTGAAGACACAGCTGTTCCTGCGGAAGACGAACATAAGCTTAAAACGGCGGTTTTTCAGTTAGCTCAAGAAGCGGATAGAAAGCAAGCGGAAGCCAAACAAATTAAGGAGGAACTTGCCAATTTAAAACAAGAAATTCAAACAGTAAATGAAAAATACCAGAATGCCAAAGAGGTAAATGTGTATTCTGGACAGGGAAAACCTACTTTCATGTAGAACTATGTCTTTGTCGGTCGTGTTGGGGTAAATGACGCATCACTTTGAAAGCTTCTATCTTGTAAAAAAAATTATCTAGACTCATCGAATTTATGAAGATTCAGTCATTCGGGTGTTTATTTTCGTAATTTTCAAGACGGAATAGAAAAAGGGAAATGAAGACCAAATGAAACTATGAGTAAAAGATAGGTAGACGTAGTTCTACACTCCTTCAGTTGGGCATACTAGAGTTTTTTAAATGACGATTGTAAGTTTTCTTTTAGAATTTCCAACGAATAACAGGTTACGCGGTAGACGAATTAGAAAAATTACGCAAAGAAAACGATGATTTTGAAGAAGAGATACGAAAATTAGAAGAAAAGTGGAAACTCTTACGGAGAGAAATAGATAGAAAAGAAGAGCTTTTGCTTCGGTTAAGTGAAGATATGATTAACTCTGCTGATGATGATAATGTTGATGGTGATGGAAAGAAGGAACCTACTCAACTGGAAAAACTGGAAAATAAACTTCACGAAAAGGAGAAACAAAAAAGAGAATTAGCTCTTAAAAAGCAAGCGCTTCATAACAAAAAGGTTTGTATAACATTTTGCTTATAATAGCAAACGTGTTGGCCCTTTTCTTTTTTTTTACATTTATTATGTTTATTCTAGGACCAAGTTCACGAGCAAATGGAAATAATTAACGGCATTGTCCACATATTAAATTGTAAACAAAAATTGTTAAATCAATAAAATGTATGCACATGTACAAAAAGTTTTTCAAACTATTTTTAACAGTTTTCAAGCGTAAAAGTAACGAAAAAGTTATAAAAAATCTTTTTTTATGAAATCGTAGAAGGGATTTTCGTTTCTTCGGGTGTTTTCGGTAGTGTTCTTGGATAAGATTATCCTTGGCTATAAACCGAAAGGTTTGATATCGGTTTCCTTTGAAGTATCATCGATTATTACTACTATCGACGACCAATCTCTGTTTTTTGTTGAAAATCGATTCCTAGCAAAGTTAATGATCGTGAGATCGTAAGACGTGTTTCTATCGGCTTAAGTAGTTTATATAGTATAGGGCCGAAAGGTGTAACCTTTAGATGTAAGTATTTCATACAATTGTCCTTAATTAATCTCGGTACCATCGCTAATAACTAATTGTAAAATATATTATATTAATTACAAACAAATTTTAGAGAGAACTAGTTCTTCCCCCTGCCCCCTGCCATTTTTATTACTCCTCCATGGCGTAGTGTCGGCCATCATTTTCTAATTGTTGCAGTTGTCGGCCATCATTCTTTTCTAATTGTTGCAGTTGTCGGCCATCATTCTTTTCTAATTGTTGTAGTTGTCGGCCATCATTCTTTTCTAATTGTTGCAGTTGTCGGCCATCATTCTTTTTGTTGCCGCATTGTCTCTGATATCGGCCATTATGGTTTTTTAATAGATGTATAGTAATCAATGATTAAAATTTAAAGGAATTTCTTATACATAGGTATGCAACACATCGTACACTTCAGCTTAAGAAATAGCTGAATTAATGAGTAATTTTCTAATTTTCAAATATTCAAATACAGATGACGTGTACTGTGACGTGCCATTGTAATTTTGACGTTTACATAACCTTAAATTTGTACTACTTAATAGAAAGTAATTTTTGAAAGTAATGTAGTTTCGTGTAATTATTAAGTATTCATTCTGTATATAGTTTGCTAAAAAAAACTTATTTAAAATGGTTTTAATGACTATGATTGCTCGTGTGGCAGATGGTTTGCCTTTGGCTGCAACAATGCAAGAAGATGAACAGGTTTAGTAAAGAAATTATACGGTTCTTATGTAGAATAAGTAACAGTTTATTTCTCACAGAGTGGACGAAATATATTGGACTATCAAAATCAAGCAAAAATGCTTTTTAGGAAATTAGGACCTCAATCTCCTCCTCGTTGTACCATTGAAACTGGGCCGTATTTATTCCAGTATTGTCTTAGCCTCATTTCAATTGATTATTGCATTATTTAGTAATATACTTACATTTCAGCTATTTAATAGAAAATGATGTTTGCTATTTAGTTCTATGTGAAAGAAATTATTCAAAGCGACTAGCTTATTCCTATTTGGAAGATATTGCACAAGAATTTCATTCTCAGTATGGTAAGAGGGTAAACACTGTTACAAGACCATACACATTTATAGAATTTGATACTTATATACAAAAAGCAAAAAAAATATTTACTGACTCGAGAGCAAGAAGAAATATGAATGTACTCAATAATCAGTTACAAGATGTCCAAAGGATAATGGTGCAGAATATTGATGATGTTTTACAAAGAGGAACTGTTCTTTCAGGTGCTGTTTTTCTATTACATTAAATCAAATCATCATACTCATGTCCCTCCTTTATTTAAGTCAATGTTGTAACTTAGTTAAATATAAATAAGTAATGTACAATTTCTTCTTTAGAGTTGGATATGAAAACCCAAAATCTCTCAATGTTAACTCAAAAATATAAAAAAGATGCAACATATTTAAATACCAAATCGATGTATGTGAAAGCTGCTGCAGGATGCATTGTGGTATTCTTATTCTTTTTATACTTCTGGATTTTATAAATATACATCTGTAGGTAATTGTGTACCATACCATATTGAATAATGTAAAGCATTTGTATTATTTGAATATATTCCATTACCAAATAAGGGACAGTTGTTAAATTTTAAAGTCTTTATTTAGCTCCAATTGGTGTATTTAATATTTATAATTTTACTCTAAGAAATAAAAACTTATAATTGCTGCTTTTCAGTAAATGTTTTATTAAAATTAGTTCTTCCCCATACCCCCGGCCATTTTTATTGCTCCACTATGACGTAGTGTCGGCCATTATTCTTTTCTAATTGTTGTAGTTGTCGGCCATCATTTTTTTCAATTGTTGTCGCATTATCACTGATGACGGCCATTATGGTTTTTTAATAGATGTATAGTAATCAATGATTAAAATTTAAAGGAATTGTTTATAAATAGGTATGCAACACATCGTACACTCCACATAAGAGATTGCCGATAGTACGTAATAATACTTTGCCCTGTGCTGACAGCACTCATAATTTCTTTTATTTGTAATATTAATTGTATAAACCAGTGGCGGTGATAAACAATACACATAAAATCTCGATGGCTCACAGCAGACCTGTATCACTTCAGACAGAAGATCTCTGCAACTATGTTGTACTAAGTAAAAAAATAAGTATGACTAGGCGGTTCTAGTGATATTTTGTTATGACCAGCTATAGATGAAATAATCTCATTAAAACGATTAAATTTCTAAGCGAAGAAAAAAACACTATTCTTTTGAGGGCACAAATGATTATCTTTAATTCATAATTAAAAAGAAATTTTAGTTACAGTTATGAAAATAAGAGAAGAATGCAAAAAACAAACATCATCCTTTGTTTAGTAATTAACAAAGACGTCTTTCAAACATTATTTCTAAATTAACTTCACATTGCACTTGTTAAATAAAATCAAAATTATTCTAATTAAAAAAGAAATATAGAATAAATTAAGTTCCATCTTCAACAGACATTTCACTATCACTATTTTCATTAAGGAACAATAAATTTTTAAATTCTTTGTAGAGCAAATTTTCCTCCTTTTCACTATGTTCTATAATTCTCTGTATAACTTTATTTCCATCTGTTAAATCTTCATCTTCTTCTAAATCTTAAATGAAATAAAAATAATTAAGTACAATTAGTAATAAAAAAAGCGAATTTCCAGTTAATGTACTTCTGAAATTTAAGTATGTAGTTAGGGTAGAGGGTCAACAAGCCTTTAAACGTTAAGAAATTGTAAAAAGGAATCCGATCTTTTAAGAGGAAGTTTTTACAATGGGAATTGACCCACCTCCCAATCACCGACATGACCTGTAGTTTAAGAAGGTATCCAAACCATTACACAATCACCGTAGTGAATTATACTTTAATAATTGTAAACTTACCAGAATCAATTACTTCATAGCAACTTATGTGATCATTTAAAACAACATGAATAACTGGATATTCTATAATCAGTCTATTTTTTAAATTGTCCTTTAGACTTATATGAGGATCTAGTTCATAAAATTGTTTCCTCTTCTTTTCTTCAGCTTTCAGAAGCAATTTTATACCTGCAATTCCTGCTGATTGATAAAATTGTAGCTTTGTTTGTAAGGTGGACCCTTCTTGCAATTGGAAATACTTATTTATTATTTTTGATAATTTTAAAGATTCNCTAGTTCATAAAATTGTTTCCTCTTCTTTTCTTCAGCTTTCAGAAGCAATTTTATACCTGCAATTCCTGCTGATTGATAAAATTGTAGCTTTGTTTGTAAGGTGGACCCTTCTTGCAATTGGAAATACTTATTTATTATTTTTGATAATTTTAAAGATTCAGGTACCCGCCTATCAGTCAAACAGAAATTCTCTGCATTAGTGAAAATCCAATCAATATGCCAAAATAATGTATTTGTTTTAAACTGAAGATATGTGGAATTGTTTATATGTCTTTTAAATGTTGGCGGCAGAAATTTTATGACTGTCTTCCTTCTATCTGCTGCTTTTTGTAATCGATGCAAATGCTACAATATAAATTACTAAAATTTCAACACTTGTAAACAATTATGACAAAATTTACATATGGAAGTAAGGAATTTTTAGGAAATTTCTTGTAAGCATCTTTTTTTAATTTTTCAACAGTTCGTGATATCTCTTCTAACATACAAATATCATTGGACAGATCTAAACTAGTAAATTTGTCCATTGGTATGTACTTAGTTTTATCTCTTTCACCATTACAATTTAATTCCTTTTTATGGATGGAGGAGCATTTTAGACAACATGTCTTTAATTCACAACGAGGACAGGTGTACTTTGCGGCTGTCACAGAACATACTTCACATTGCCCTAATCTACAATTAAATCTATATTAATTACCTTTACTTGCTTCAATTTTTAATTAATTACCTAGATGTATAATCAGAGAGCAAAGTGTTAATTGCAGGTTGTTCCACTTCCATTACAACTATTTTCTAAATTAACTACATACCATATTATTAAAAAAAATAATTGAAATTAATATAATTATTCTTAATATTCATCCCATGTATTAAATAAGAACATAATTAGAATAACGTGAAACTTGCGCCGGCTAATTGCATTGAAATTAAAATGTTTAGGTTATGAAATTATAAATTATTACAAGCAGTGTAGTGAGCGCAATCTGTAGAAAAACTCACGAGATTTAATTATTAAAAATTAGTTATACCTAAACTAGAACAGGGTAGATGGCGATAGAGTGCCTGGAAAGGGACAAAAATTTAAGAAAATAAATGGTGTAAAATAGTAATATCATATGGTCGTCAGTCTTAAGACTGGTTGGATACGCACCTTCACTCCTTCCTATCCTGAGCTAATCTTCGCATTTCCTTAAAACTAGAACAACCCACATCCATAACTATTTGCGAACAGTAATCTAATCTAGGTCTACCTCTACCCCTTCTAACTACCATTTCTGCCTCTAACTGTCTCCAACTAGACTTTCATCCCTAAGGTGTTCTACCAACCTATCTCGCCTTTTTCTTATTGACTTACAAACAGTCCTTTATTCCCTTTGTACCCCTATTGCACTTATTGATGACATCCCCCGAGGTAGTCCCCGCCCGGATATCCAAATGGGGGACTAGAAGTGACGAGGATAATACATCTAGGATCACATTTGAGGGGTCAGGCTAATTAAATGTGGACTCTGAGGAAGGAACGTTAGATGAGGATATTCGTGGTAGGGAGGCATCTAGGGCATTAAATAGAATGGTGAATGTTAAAGCGGCTTGGGAGGTCGGTATCCCTCTAGAGAGCATTGAGGAATTGGGTCTTGTAGCTTTGGAAATAATCACTGCAGAACGAAATTACGTTTGGGTTGAAAGGAGTATGCCGAAAAAATGACGCAAAGCTAGAATTGTCTCAAGTTTCAAGAATTGGGATGAAGATACACCAGAGAATTATATGGGGATTTCGTTGCTAGACATCTTATCAAATCGTCTTAGCAAGTGGATAGACAAGGAGGACAAAGTAAAAGAGAGCCAGGCAGGGTTTAGGAGAAAAAGAAAAAAAAGGGGTCATTGTACTCAACTATATAATCAATGAGAGACTTAAACGGGAAAGAGAGGAACTCTATGTGGCTTTCAGGACTGAGTTTGATACTACAGATAGAGAGTTACTTCTAGGGAGGTTATTGAAGTTAGGCATTAGAGCGAGAATGCACGCTCTTATTAAGAATATTTATAAGCTAACAGTGACGAAATGAAGAATGGGAGAACAATCACTGAAGAGTTCACCACGAACATAGGAAGGCTGTGTACTGAGCACAACCTTGTTTGATCTATTTATAAATAACATAGATGATAACTGGGAAAGACAGGAAGAAAGAGTGAAAACTATAATTACAACGTTAGCAAAATATGTCGAGAGAAACAGGTTACGGGTAAATACTAAGACAAAGATCATGGTCTTCAGAAATTGGGGGAAAAGAAATAAGAAGGAGTTATAGAGCTTTAATGGGGAAATTATTGAAGTGGTAAACGAGTTGAATTACCTAGGGTATTGCTTCATAACAAAGAGCGAAACTGAAAGATACAAGTAGATCACGGCAGTGTCGCAAAAAGCTGCTGTGACATGGGGAGTTTTGAAAGGGGCAAGTAGAGATCAAAGGAAAGGTCGTACTTATCTGATGGACTTGTTAATGAAAGCCGTAGCGCTATACGGTTTGAGGTTCGCGATTCGGGTAAGTTAGAATGCTTGGGGAAAGTACCAAAAGCAGGTACTGCAAGATGGTGCTAGGAGTAACAAGGAACACGCCTAAGTATATCCGGAGAAACGAACTGGGAGTAATAGATCTAGAATATACAGCGAAGGAACGGGCATTTAGATATTAAGAATATTACAGGAATGTCAGATGATAAAAATACTGTTTAATAAAAACAATAGAGGTATTTGAGAAGTAAGAAGCGACTGTTTGTAGATCCTTATGGGAATAAAGGAGACGGGAGAGATCAATAGGGGATTTAAAAACAAATTAGACATATGGTTGGGTATACAATTAAATAAAGAACTTAGTATTGAACAGTTCCAGAGCAGATTATTTGAGTGGACAGAGCGGAAATAAAGACGAGGAGGAGGTCTAGACAAGAACAAGATGTGGGAATTTAGAGGAGTTCAAAAAGGGTTATAGTGATTGGACATGTAGACTCGGTGATAGGAGGGAAGGACACTTGTGCACCTACTGTGCCGTGGGGAGGTAATTAAAATGCAAAGTGGGGGTATAAAGTGGTTTATGAACGAATGGAGAATAGATGGGCAATGGGGATGAAATGAAAGATTTAATTGTTATTACTTTAAAAGGAGAGGAATGCGAAGGCTTATTACATATATTATATTTTAAAATTGTAGAAAAACCTGTATAAGGAAAAAGTTGATATTGTAACTTATAACGTAAGAGAAAAGAAACAATTAGTAAAATAGACAATGTCATTACATGTAAAAAAGTGAGAATAGAAGGGTGAACTTGTATAGTTTTAAGAAGAGCCATTATAGAATTTAGAATTAAGGTGACATTGTAGCTGAGATTGTGAAAACCCGCTAGTATACAATGAAAAATTTGTTTTTTTAATTCCTTTTAAGAAATATATGGCAACGATCACATTAAAACCAAACAAGCCAAGCAAATACGATTGCTATCAATCTTGTGGGTATTAATAAAATATTTATTGTACGTCGCTAGACATAGGAATTATATTAGAAGGAAAAACAGATAGCTATAAAATTAGTTTTGTTTGTAAAAATACAAATCATGTAATTATCGATTGCTATTTGTCACCACGAGGCAGACTCGTGTTGCGTGATATTTAAATTTATTATATCTATTGTAAACATCATAATTATGTTTCTAGTGCGACAAACACTGGAACTAAAAAAGAAAAAAAACTTATACAATGTGCTAAAGGGGCAATTATAAAAATCACCAATATAAACATAGGATTTTGTACTTTTTGAAAACAGTCCCCCTGGGACGGATATAATAATGGACCGGTTATTAATAAATTGTTGCGTTACTGTGCTTATTTATCATATAATGTCCAAACCGCAAAACATCGATATTGACCTTAAATAGAAAGGAACCCTTTTATAGACACCTTTTCTGATCAGTGGGGATTGTTTTTACTCATAAATTACCTTCTGAGATTGGTAGACCACAAAAAACTCCCCCAAAATGGCACATTCTAATAAACATTTTTTTTAATTGTGAAGAATAGGTATTATTGCTTTTCTGATGCTTTATATAAAAGTTAAAGTTTTAAAGGTTAAAAATGTTAAAACTGACATTGGGTAAAAGATTGATGGCAATATATGACGGAGTATGATAAACTTATACTGTTTACAGTTTTGTATAAAATAAATAGCGATAATATACAGTAACAACTGTAATTTATTATTAGATATTTATATAAACATATCTGTTAAATAAAATTCACCATCAGTGATTTGTAATAAAAAAGGATGTGGATATATTTGGTAAAACTTTTATCACAAATTATTACGACTACACGTGAATATGCCTTAATATGTGACAGTAATGACTTTAAAAATAGATTATTTTTAATGCATTTAACCACAATGCTTTGTTTTCTGGAAAACTATTGGTCGTTTCTGAGGGCTCGCCCAGCGTTGGTGCATCTTATTATAAGCATATGGATTAAATTTTCCACTACATTTATCTTTAATACCAATTAATAACGGTTCTAAAACCGCAAACCAGGTCAATATTGTTTATTAATGTCAAATCAAACTATTTAGCGATAATGCATTTTTTGTCTCAATAAATAATAATAAGAAAAGATGTCTTCCGGTATTTTTTGTGCCACATATCATAAGAAATTTTTACTTATTTTAGCTCCTTATTAATGGATTAAAATATGATCACCTACCTACGAAAAAATTTAATTTGTAATAATTAAATGAAAACGTAATAAAACTTAAAATGCGTAGCGTTTTCTCCGTTTTTTTTCGATTTCGAAAACTGAAGAAACTACATAAACTGTTTTGTTCGGTTTTTGTGAATTTAGTATGTACCTATAGACAACAACGGCACTATGGCGACATTGTGTTATTTTATTTGTTAAACAATAGCAACCGTGACAAGACTTTTTTCTTTAAAAACAGAAAATAGCTTTTTTAAGATAAATTAAACAATATATACTTTTTAAATCAATAAACAATTGCACAATAAATTTTACGGGATAACAAAAGAAAATACGCAGTAGACTTTTAAACTTTAGGGACATTAAACATTTTATGTTATTTGTGATTTTTTTAAGTGTTGATTTTGAAATACAACAGCTTATATCTAAAGTACCTAATTAATTAGGTACCTCCCTGAAAATATTTATTGCAAACTTAATTTCCTATCAAATTTCACCGAAGCAGAACAACGTCATAACTTCCATGATTTCAAAAAAAATTGTTATTACAAAAATATGACAGCGGATGTTGGTTTTAATCCATAAAATCACAATTTATACTCTCCTTGCTAATGAGTATATTGATTGTATTGTGAAGTAACGATTATTCTGGTTCTGGATCTGCAGTTTTGTGGATGATTAGTAAACGCATATATACAAATATTCAATTACCCAATGTTAACAAAGGTTACCAATTATCAAAATCATACTCGTCTTATAATGTATCTGCTATCCATCAACAGTACAGGAATACTTCGTGAAAGGACGAGCGGGACCAGTTCATGTGTAACTGCCACGCATCTGATACACGCACGTGAGGATTTACAAGGATCCTTGCTCGAGCACGCGATTACCGTTACGTTGTTTCACAATTTTCCCCACTCTCGCTTTTTTGACTACATCATCACAATTTTTATTTATTTTTTGTAATGCTGATAACGAAGCACGCCTTTGACGTTAAGTAGCACATGATATGCGGTCTTATAAAATGCTGACGGGCATCTACGTTTCTGCCATACCCACTTTTGGCTGTCTGATAACAGACGTCCTTAGCCTTACCTAACAAGTCCATTTTAATTTTACCTTCTGACCTTACAGTGATAATAAAAGAGAATCATGCCTATTGTAAAGGAACAATTGCCCAAACGTGAAACAATCGAATTGAGGAAAAAGCACATTGGGTAAGTTGATTTTTCTTATCAATGCTTTTTTTTTTCGGGGAATATAATAAACGAAATGATCAATGTTAAAATTAATTAATTTCATTACCATCTAAACTGGTCTAAGGTATTGCTTACAAACAGTTGTTTGTTTTAGGCCCAATTGTCAGCTTTTTTTCAAGAAAGATCCACTTAAAATAGTGCGGGCAGAAAAGCAATACATGTTTGATGAAAGAGGAGACGCTTATTTAGACTGCATTAACAATGTAGCTCATGGTGAGTTAGAGATGTAAATAAGAGAAAATCTCTGTTTTAAATAAATGCCTCTTACTTAAACAGTTGGTCATTGTCATCCAGAAGTGGTCAAAGCAGGTTTCGAACAAATGTTGGTCTTGAACACCAACAATCGATTTCTTCACGACAACATTGTTTTATGTGCTCAAAGATTGATAAGCACCATGCCCGAAAACTTATCCGTGTGTTATTTCGTAAATTCTGGTTCAGAGGCTAACGACTTAGCTTTGCGCCTTGCTCAGATACATACCGGAAACGAAGATATAATAACCCTTGAGCAGTAAGTTAATTTTTATTGTTTATTCGATTTCGACCATTTATGAACGCTTACCATAAATAATCTCAGCTGTGTGCATCAAAATTACTTTCAGTTTTCCGAATTGTTTAGTAAATAGGTAATGTCGATTGATGGTACCTTTAATAAAAGGATAAGTTACCGAAAAAAGTCTAATGTTTTCGTTTTCGCTTTTTCTTCCAGCTAATTAAAATGACAAAGAAGATGGCCGGAACTTCGAAATCTGCAGGCTGGACGCCTGCCTGCATTATTAACTTCATCATTTACTTGTTCCTGTTCAGATCAAGGGTTGCTAAACCAATACTTTGTTCTAATTAGTCACCTTATATATTTTTAGTTAACCATCATGCATTTTTTAACATCTAGTACATTTAGTAAGCTTGGCAAGCTTTGACAAACAATTAGCCTTTTTTCTAAAGGCTTTTTACGGCAAACATGAGAAATGTATTTTTTCAGTGCGTACCATGGGCACTTAACCTCCTTGATTGACATTTCCCACTACAAATTCGCCTTACCTGGAGGGCCGCCACAGAAAGATTACGTCCATTTGGTAATAAACTAATAAAATTTTTATGTAAAACTAAGTCGACAGTTTACTAATTACGTACAATAATTAATAGTAGCGGAAGCCTAAAATCTTTAACGATTTACTGAATTATTAAAGAATTTAACAGGATTTCTCAATTTCAAATAGGCTTCGTGTCCAGACACGTACCGTGGAAAATTCAGGGGCGACAAAAGAAATTCTCAGGAATGCGGAACTCTTTACGCCAATGAAATAAAACAAATTTGCGATGGTCTTAAGAAAAAAGGAAAAGGAGTTTGCGCCTATATAGCAGAAAGTTTTCAAAGTTGCGGTGGACAAGTCATACCACCATCGGGATACTTTCGAGAAGTCTACCAGCACGTCCGGGAGGCTGGAGGAGTGTGTATCGCTGATGAAGTACAAGTTGGTTTTGGACGTGTCGGAAAACATTGGTGGGCATTCCAGATGCACGGTTCCGACGTTGTTCCTGACATTGTAACCATGGGAAAACCAATGGGAAACGGACATCCTATTGCTGCTGTGATCACAACTCCAGAAATTGCAGAAAGCTTTAGAAAAACCGGAGTAGAATATTTCAATACGGTTAGTGCCAATTACGATATGTGCTACAGTCGATTTATTAATTGTAACGTCTTTAACAGTATGGGGGTAATCCCGTATCATGCGCCATTGCCAATGCAGTATTCGATGTAATTGAAAAGCAAAAGCTGAGAGAAAATGCCATCATCGTTGGCGATTACCTTTTGGATTCTTGCGAGAGATTGATGAGGAAACACCATGTAATTGGAGACGTTCGTGGTTATGGATTATTTATTGGAATCGATTTAATTAACGATAATGAAACAAGAAGTCCAGCAACCAAAACTGCTCAATACGTAATAAGCAGGTAAACTAAAACAATTATTTAGCTAAATGATAATTCAATTAATAAATGTTCTTTATCTCTTTAGAATGAAACAAGAACATATTCTCTTAAGTGCGGATGGTCCATATGGTAACGTTCTGAAGTTGAAACCACCGATGATTTTTACAAAAGAAAATGTCGATGAATTCGTATTAACCCTCGACAGAATTCTGGAAGAAGTTAAAAATATGGACGAAACGTCGCAGATAGCACCCGACATAAAAGTAAAGTCTCACCCAGTGAAGAACACAAAACCCTACAAACCCTCGTCTTCGAGAAAAGAAGACAAGATAAAGTCTATTTAACTTTGTTTATAATTAAACGCAATTTTTCTAGAATAGAAAAACTGATTTGTCTATTAAATAGACCACTTTAAATGTATTTATTTTTATTTTTTTTATATTTGTCTTCTTGCGGACAAATACAAAGTTAATAATTAGGAGCACACAAACACAAACTTTATTCGATTTTCTTTTACGAATTACAAACCAGTTTATGATTAAAAATAAAAAGTTTTATATAAACAATAACTGATTTTTATTACATATCTAGTAAACACCAACCTAACGTTTTGCTTAAAAAAGTTATATCTGGAACTCATGCTTCTTATGTTTTTTTCTGTGCATTTCCAACTGATTTCTGGAAATAAACGAATCGCTGCAAACCTCGCAATGATACTTTTTAATCATTTTAATCTTATTCATGGTGTACTTTATCGCTCTTTTGATGTCCTCCACAGTCTGCGGTTGATCTATAGCTTTCAACACCTCTTGTTCAATTTCATTTTCAGACTTTTGCAAAAGAGAAACATTTTGTTTATGTAATGGAGTATCTTTATGCATTTTAAGAGTAAGTTTACTTTTAAATTTTAGCAAACAGTATTTACACATCGGTTGCTTAGGATGTGAATAATTTGGCGTTACTTGCACATTTTGTTCTATTTTATTAATGTTTTCCTCGTTTTTAAGAGTTACTCGCTTCGGACTTTCATCTTTTTCCCTAAATAACTGATACAGTCGTTTATTCATATCATCGGAAGATGGCGAATTATTGTACAATTCATTTTCATCTTCCGTAGATCTAGAAAAACCTGCCTTTTGACATGATGTGTTTTTCAAAGCGTCTGAAGTAAAGGTATTCATTTCTTTTGCACTTAAACCAAGATCACTCATTACCCTTAGCATTTGTTCTCGTATAAGTGTTTGCTTACTTATTATCCTATTCACGCTTGGCCCACTTTTAATTGTGTTTGTTTGTTTTAGAAAATTTGTTGTTTTATTTCTTTCGATTATTTTTCTGTTAGTAACTATTCTTGGCAATCTGCAATTTCCATCACTTTTAGGGCTTACTTTTATAACTGAGTTTCGTCTGTTATTTGTAGCTTTACTATTTAATGGTTTGTTATGCAAATATCTCCATTTTATAAAGTAGCTTTGTAACGTCTCATTGAACCATCCTCCGGAAATTCTATTGCATTTTCTGCATCTCACTAAATGTAGATAATTTAGTATTTTATTTAAAACGTTCGAAAACGCTTCTTTCTGCATATGCTTACAAATTTTCATTAACTTGATATTTCCAATTTGAAGAACATCGGCAAGTTCCGACAATCTGTACTTTCTTACGTTACCGGACTGCCTCTTGTGATCCGTTTGTTTTTGTGATACTCCTTTACTCTTTCTACAATTGTGTTTCCGAAAGGAAAAATGACGAAGTAAATGTAAAAATCTATAAATGCCATTCTTGAAGTACTTTTTACAAAAGAAGCATTGCTGTATTGCTTTAGAAGAGGTGCTCATGGTTAAACCCCCATCCAGTTTTTCATGCGCATCATTCAAATGTATATTCAGTAGTCTGTAGCTGCTGAATCGTTTATTGCAAACTGTACATGTCCATTTCACTGACTCTTTCCAACCATTTCTACTAGAGGGCCTACTGATATGGCATACATGCATATTTTTCAAAATTTCATTTGTAAATACGTTTCCACATTTTTCACAAGTAGTGTCCTTTACTGCTTTTTTGGGAGAAGGAGCAAAGGAAATCTGACACTCATGAAGTTCACGTTGAAATGTATAATCGAAATATTTTCTACAAACTTTGCATACAAATTTTCCTTTTCTTTCGGTGAAATTTTCAGTAACTATCTCTGGCTCGTTACTGTCGGTTTTTTTTTGTGCTATAATTGCATTCGCAGACCCCTTTGACTTTCTAGTTTCTATTTTTTTAAACGGACATTTTTCTTGAACATGCCCCAGTTTTGATTCACTGTTATCCTTACTCGTGCTTTTATTATTTAACTTCTTACTACGTATTTTTAACTTTGAATTCACATTAGTAGAAAGACGCATTTTTTTCGACTCATCTGTATTTAACTGTCGATGGAACGACTCAAAATCTACATTTGATAAACATTTATTCTTAGAACTTCTTAGCTGAGTTGCATTATTACTTTCATTCGATGCACTAAGTTCATTTAAATCTTTAGAACTCGCTTGCTCACATAATCTTTCATCTACTACTGGTTGGTTAGAAGTAAATGAGTTTTCACTGATGGCATATTTTTTTACATTTGGATTTGACGATTTATTTTCTTTTTGTTTTGCGGTGTAACTTCCAGATTCGACATCGTTTTTCGAAGAAGCTTCTGAAGTACATTCATCATTACTTGTTTCCATTACGTTTTCGCTATCAAATAACTCCACTTTCGTTGATGACGACATTGTATCGAAATCACTATATTCAGTTGTAATTGTATTTTCGTTTTTCAAAATTTCCCTTTTATCGAATGTTTTTCTTCTGGAACTTTTAGAAACTAGCGGTTTCACTAAATCTGAATTCAATTTATCTGCTTGCTCGCTAAAATCAAGTGGATTTCTATTTAAAACATACACTTTATGCTTTGATGCACGAGTGCTTTCATCAAAGGTTGAACATCGTTGTTCTGAATCAAACACCATGCTGCTCTCAATATAGTTTAATGATTCATTCTTTTCATGAATAGAGTTGTTATTGAGATTTGAATGAAGCTGTGTTTCGTTATCCCTAGATTGGTCAGTATGATGATTTTCTCTTGATCCCATTTTACAATCATTTGACGAAGTATTTATTTTGCTTACATGGCTCTGCTCATCTTTATTTGTTTCATCACTTTTAGTTTCGTTTTTCTCTGTTTCTTTATCCTGAACGTCACATTTCTGAATTGTCGTTGAAGACGAAAGAGGTTTAAAAGTTAAATTAAACATTTTTTTAATTTCTCTATCATAATCGCGCTTAGCTAATGAAATAACGTCAGTGGGATGACCTACGTTTTCTTCCGAGGCTGACCTCTTTTGAATGTTATCTACGTTTGTTGTGCTTCTATTTTCAGAATTTGTACTACACGACAATGAATCTATACATTCATTTGTAAAAGTTTCAGGAACGTATGCTACCTCATTTTGTGGACTGATAACTGATACAACTGGTTTGAGAGCTTTCGGTATTGTCTGAGATGAGCTGAAATTTCCGAAATGATTTTCTTGTTCATAAGATCTTTCTGCGCTGCTTTGGGTAGTAACAGTTGCAGCACCATGTTTTTCTTTAGCAAATGATTTCACTCTAATACTATGACTTACACGAATTTCATTTTCAGAAGCACAGCGGGAAGTATCTTCCATTTGACCCCTTATGTAATTGAAATTTACAGAAAAAGTATCCGAATCTGCGGTTAAATCGACTACATTATCTACATCGTTATTTCTGCGGTCACAATCAATCACGGTATCGTCTGTATCGGATTGCAAAACATAAGTTACATCATCATCAATAGCAGGTATTGACTCCCCTTGTTGATTTGCAGAAGCTGGAATTGTCAATTCCGAGTTATTACTGATGCCAACCGTCGGTTGATTTGTATCACTACAAATTCTTTTATTAATAGCGTGTTTCAAAGAAGTAAGAAAAGATGATGATTTTGTTTGTTGATTTGCAGATCCTTTGCTTGTCAATGCCGAGTCATTGTCGACATTAACAGTGGGTTTGTTATTATTATCATTGCTTTTTTTATCAATGAATTTTAAAGTTGTAGGAAGAGGTGTAGATTTTCTTTGTTGATTTCCAGGTTCGTCATTTGCCATTTTCGAGTCATCATTTACATAAACGGTTGGTTTATCTATATTACTCCTACTGCTTTTATTAAAACATTTCAGTATGGAAGGAGAAGGTGTTGATTCTTTTTGTGGATTTGCAGGCTCTTCTTTTGTTATTACCGAGCCATTACTGGCACTAATAGTCAGTTTATTTGTATTACTGCTATATCTTTTATTATCACTGTATTTCAATGTAGTAGGAAAAGATGCCGATTCTTTTTTTTGATTTACAGCTGATGCGTTTGTCAGGGTGGGGTCATTATTAACACTAACAGTCGGTTTATTTGTAATAGTCGACTTACTTGTATTGCCGCTGTTCTTTTTATTATTAGCGTAATTGAAAATAGTAGGAATAGGTGTTAATTCTCTTTGTTCTTTTGCAGGCGATGTGTATGTCAATGTCGACTCATTGCTGACACGAACAGTAGATTTACCTGGATTACTACTAGTTTCTTTACTATAATCGTATTTCAACGTAGTAGGAAAAGTAGTTTGTTCTTTTATTTTTTTTGTAGACCCTGATTTGGTCAATATTAAGTCATTATTAACACTAACAGTCGTTTTACTTCCATTAATACTACTTGTTTTGTGATCAACGTAATTCAAGGCGGTAGGAAAATGTGTTGACTTTTTCTGTTGATTTGCAGGCGCTGTGTTTGTTAATACTGAGTCATTACTGACACTTACAGTAGATTCACGTGGATTACTACTGCATTCTTTATTATCAATATGTTGCAATGTAGTAGAAAAAGGTGTCAATTGTTTTTTATAATTTTTAGGTCCTATATTTGTTAATGTAGGGGTATAATTAGTATTAACAATCGATTTTAATGAGCAATCTTGTTTGGGATAATTTTTTGTTGAAGATATGCCATTTACATTGGTTTTTGTGGATAAATAAGATGATCTGATTTTATTAATATTGTCTTTTGTGGCATGAAATTGAAATTCGTTGGAATTTGTTCCACTTGTAGTGGGTTGAATGACGGTAATATTACCAATATGCGATGAGCTCCCCACATCATTCTCTTTACGGTACAACCTATTACTTGATATAATTTCATCAAAATCATTCCCTAAACTCCCTTTTGTTGAAGTTGTTGTACGTTGAGCAATATTTCTTTCTGAATTAGTTTCATTATGTGGTCTACCATAGGCAGTATCATCTGGGTTTCCATTAGAAAAACATTTTTCTGGATTTTTAAGGTTATTGGAAGTGTTCAATTCAATTAACGGAAAAGTAACTGATGCAGTTTGAAACAAATTTCCATTTGGGCATAGTGTACTATTTAATTCGCTAGATGATGGACTTTCCAAACAACCCTTCTGTGAATCTGTCGAATGATTATTTGCAAGGATCGGTGCAAGAGTGCTGACGAAATTATTTGTGCTACCGGTTGGTATATGCAAAGCAAAAGAATCAGCTATCAAAGGAGTAGTCATTATCATATTGGAAACGACGTGCTGACTACTAGAAGAGATGACGATTTTGACTGACTTTGACTCATTTGTTGAAGATTCTATTTGTTCCTCGTTATTAGGAATTTCGTTGTGAGAATTGGTTTTTAATAATGATTTATCTATTTCGGAGCAAGCTACATCCGATTTCCAAAATATTGGTTTCTTATCAAAAATTTCAGAAGTATTAAATGCAGTAGTTTGTAGATCATTTATATATCCAATTGGCACTAAAGGCTTTTGATTGGATTGCAGTTTATCGTCATGGACAGGCACTGCTCGTAATTTTGCAAGTTGACGTGTATTATCAACAACAGGTTCAACATTATTGGTAGAAATTTGCGATTGGGTTGAAATATTACCAACAGTTTTATTTAGTACTTCCTTTAATATCTTCGGCCGCGTTTTTTTGGTTGGTAGTTTTTGAGTAGGAACACATCCATTTTCAAGCAAAATTGTTAATTGTTTCGTCAAATCTGTGGAGTTTGGAAATATATAATTAGTTACAGTTCCATTAAACGGGGTGACTACATGAACAGACGTCGGAGGATCGTCCAAGTCATTTAATAAATCCTTAAGGGTCACAATTTCGGAATTGACACCCTGACGAACCTTAGAATTGACATTGACAGTATCTTTCAAAAGATCAGCCAGAGACATATTATTAATACCTGAAGATTCAGTCGATGCTTTTTGAATACGTATCTTGGCGTAACTGGTTTCATTATTTTCTTTGGAACGATTCATATTCGCTTCCGAGGGTAGGTCTATCTGCTCCTGTGCGACATTCCCATCAGTCGGTCTACAGAGATTAACTTTAGTACATTTTCTATGAACATCTTCAACAAAACTCTTTTTAGCGTTCTCATCATTACATTCATTGGGCGGAACAACTTGTTCATTAATTTTATTACCAATCACCACATTTGAATTTTGAACGGTATTGGTCGTTTCTGAATTCTTTACTTGCTGAAGGATGTCATCTTGAGTCTGCTTAATGTTAGAAACGTTGTATAAGTTAAAGGAGTCTTTTACCACATTAGAATTTTTAGGAATCGCATTTGATTTTTTTATGTGCTTTTTCTTCTGCCTCTCCTTCTTGGGCAGAAAATATTGTTTACAATAGTTATGTTCAGAAGCTATTCCATTTCCATAAAACCCTTGTTTTAGTATACGTTTTCTATATTCTGCACGTGACATAATTCTTTTTATATTTTTTTTTGCGATCTCTTTACATTTTCTAACCGAATCGGAGACAAATAGTAAATCATTGTCATTGTTTTTAAAAGGCAAAATACCAGGCAATTCTTCAGAGGATTCAGAACTTTCACCATACTTGAAATTTTTATTTGCACAGTTGCAATTCCCTGAGCAGCAATATTTCTCAATGATGGGTGGTTTTTCGTCAAAAAAATCAGTTGAAAACGATTTGACTGCTTTCTCAAAAACATCTTCAGATACGATTATGCGACGAAACTGTTCTTCGGATGTAGAAGGCGTGGAAACATGTACATGCGTCGCCTGATTACCTAATTTTTTTTTGTTAACGCTATCCTGTTTTTTATGTTCTTCCTTATGATCATAAAGCTCCTTTCTTGTAGTAAAATGTAAATTACAATCAAGACACAGTCTATTCTTGTGATACACTTGATGCTTTGCATAGCTCATCTTGGTAAAGAATACTCGATCGCAGTAAGAACATTTTCTTTCTGTTTCTTTATGTTCTTTCATATGTTGTAAGTGCTGAAACTGACCATTATGTTGTTTATTGCAAATTTCACATGTATGAACACATTCGTACTTTAAATGTTCCCAATAACTAGAAATTGAAAATTTGCCCGCACACTGATCACATGAATAAAAATCATTCGGTTCATCATTTTCACTGTTTGTAGCTAAAGTATCTTCAATTGCAGCATTACTATAGCTTTCTGGTAATTTTTCAATGGTTACGTGACACTGGAGGTTTTCGGGAATAATATTCCGTTCCTTCAAAAACTTTATATTTTCACAAGATTTCCTAATGATGCTCTCTGTATCAGATTCGAAATTAGTATGATCACTAGTATTGTTTCTTTCATCAGTTGAGTTTTGTAACTGGGGGTTATGAGAGATGCATTCGTATGCATCTGATTCTGCTGTATCAGTCTCTTCAAATGTGTCGTCAATGTCAGTATCTTTATCGTCAGAATTAGTATTAAAGTAACCATTGGCCCTTAGCCAATCGTCTTCATCCTCGTCTAAGTAAGTTTCCTCGACTTTTACCTCAACTGATTTGGACTCATTTAAAGAAAGAGGCTCTGTTTTTACAATTGGCTGTTCAAAAACTGAGATTTTGTTATCAGAAACCTGATATTGATATTCATTTTGAATACGCACTTCTGTCGCAAGACACATTTTTCGAAATTCATAAGCCAGCCTTAATGTAGCTGTACATGAAAAACATAAAGATGCACTCCAGCTGTCCAGGTTCTGTAACAACGAAAAATAACGATTAGCTAACCGTTATACCCTTCTGTATCATCGTTTCCACTGAGAACAATTCTGTAAGGATTATCACGGAGAACGAAACCTATTGTAATAAGTAACAGTAATAGTGAGTTATTTATACAATAATAAAGACTCATACCAAATTTCTAAACTAAACTTCTACTTTACATCTTAGGAACTCGTATAACAGACGGTATTAAATAGCGTTTCTAGCTCAACTACTTCAGCTTTTATTGTCTTAAACGCGCGGAACAGTTCAAGAGGAAGTCACACTAAACCTTATTCGTAAGATGACGGCCAGAAGATTTCCTTCTATCAGACACTTCCTTCCTTCTACTTCATATTGTAGGAAAACTTGCAACAGCCAAACCACTTCCGTAAGATGACGATTCAGGATATTCTCCTTCTACCTGGTCCCCACCTTCCTCCTATTCTATCTTCACTACACCTCCAACAGGCGGTATTTGGCAGGGTTTCTCTCATGACCCAATTACTCCAGCTTTCATTGACTTAAACGTGCGGAAAAGTTCAGTGGAAGTCACGCCATACTACTTGGAAAAGATGGAGAGCCAAGGGAACTCATCTAACAGGCGGTATTTAATGGGGTTTTTGGCCTAACTACTTCAGCTTTTATTGTCGTAAACGACCGGAACAGTTCAATGGAAGTCACGTTAAATCACTTTCCTAAGATGACGACCCAGGAGAATTTCCTTCTATCTGTCGCCTTTCTTTCTCCTACTCTATACTGTAGGGACATTTAAAAGCAACAGGCGTGATTTGACAGTTATCAATGATATCGTTCAAGTACTCTAGCTTGCATTGTTTTAAACGCGCAGAATAGTTCAAAAGAAATCACGTCAAACCACTTGCGTAAGACGAGCCAGGAGATTCTCCTTCTACCTGGTTCCCACCTTTCTCCTACTCTATCCTGTGGGAACACTTTCAACAGGCGGTAATTGGAAGGGTTTCTCATGATATGACCCAACTACTCCACCTTTCATTGTCTTAAACGCGCGGAAAAGTTCAGCGGAAGTCACGCCATACCATTTGTAAATGAGACAGAGCCAAGGGATTCTTCTTCGACCTGGTCCCCTCCTTATTCCTAATTTACGTTTTAGGAACTCGTCTATCAGGCGGTATTTAATAGGGTTTCTGGCCCAACTACTTCAGCTTTTATTGTCTTAAACGCGCGGAACAGTTCAAAGGAAGTTACGCCAAATCGCTTTCGTAAGATGACGACCCAGGAGAATTTCCTTCTATCTGTCGCCTTTCTTTCTGCTACTCTATATTGTAGGAACACTTAGAAGCAACAGGCGTGATTTAACAGAGTTATCTATCATATGGTTCAAGTACTCCAACTTTCATTGTTTTAAAGGCGCAGAGCAGTTCAAAAGAAATCATGTCAAACAACTTGCGCAAGACGACAAGCCAGGAGATTCGCCTTCTACCTGGGCCCCACCTTCCTCCTACTCTATCTTGTAGGAACACTTGCAACATGCGGTATATGGCAGGGTTTGTCATATGGCCCAAGTACTCCAGCTTTCATTGACTTAAACGCGCGGAACAGTTCAGTGGAAGTCACACTATACCACTTGCAAAAGATGAAGAGCCAAGGGATTCTTCTTCGACCTGGTTCCCTTCTTAGTCCTAATTTACGTTTTAGGAACTCGTCTACCAGGCGGTATTTAATAGGGATTCTGGACCAACTACTTCAGCTATTATTGTCATAAACGCGTGGAACAGTTCACAAAGGAAGCCACGCCAAATCACTTTCGTAAAATAACGATGCTAGAGATTCTCCTTCTACATGGCGCCCTCCTTCCTTCCAATTTATTTTGTAGGAACATTTGCAAAAGGCGGTATTTGGCAAAGTTTTTAATGATATCACTCAAGTACTCTAGCTTTCATTGACTTAAACACGCGTTACAGTTCAGTGGAAGTCACGCGAAACCACTTGCAAAAGATGGAGAGCCAAGGGATTTTTCTTCGACCTGGTCCCCTCCTTCCTCCTATTTTACGTTTTAGGAACTCGTCTAACAGTCGATACTTAATGGGGTTTTTGGCCCAACTACTTCAGCTTTTATTCTCTTAAACGCGCGGAACAGTTCAAAGGAAGTCACGCCAAACCGTAAGATGACGAGCCAGGAGAATTTCCTTCTATCTGTCGCCTTTCTTTCTTCTACCTATTCTATATTGTAGGAACACATAGAACCAACAGGCGTGATTTGACAGGGCTATCTATGATATGGTTCAAGTACTCTATCTTTCATAGTTTTAGACGAGCAAAACAGTTCAAAAGAAATCACGTTAAACCACATGCCTAAGACGACGAGTCAGGAGATGCTCTTTCTATCTAGTCTCCACATTCCTCCTACCCTATCTTGAAGGAACACTTCCAATAGGAAGTATTTGGCAGGGTTTCTCATGATATGACCCAAGTACTCTCGCTTTTATTGTTTTAAACGCGAGGAACTGTTCAGTGGAAGTCACTCCAAATCACTTTCAAAAGATGGAGAGCCAAGAGAGTATCCTTCTACCTGGTTCCCTCCTTCCTTCTACTTTACGTTTTAGGAACTCGTCTAACAGGCGGTATTTAGTAGGGTTTCTGGCCCAACTACTTCAGCTTTTATTGTTTTAAACGCGCGGAACAGTTCAAAGGAAATCACGCCAAACCACTTTCGTAAGATGACCACCCAGGAGATTTTCCTTTTATCTGTCGCTTTTCTTTCTTCTTCTTTATATCGTAGGAATACTTAGAAGCAACAGGCGTGACTTGACAGGGTTATCTATGATATGGTTCAAGTACTCTAGCTTTCATAGTTTTAAACGAGCAGAACAGTTCAAAAGAAATAACGTCAAAGCACTTGCGTAAGACGACGAGCCAGAAGATTCTCTTTCTATCTGCTTCCCACGTTCCTCCAACTCTATCTTGTGGGAACTCTTCCAATAGGAGGTATTTGGCAGGGTTTCTCATGATACGACCCAAGTACTCTAGCATTTATTGTCTTAAACGCGAGGAACTGTTCAGTGGAAGTCACTCCAAACCATTTGCAAAGATGGTCAGCCAGGAGATTCTCCTTTTACCTAATCGCCTTTTCCTTCTACTATATCTTGTAGAAACGCTTACAACAGGCGGTATTTGATTTCTCATGATATGGCCCAAGTACTCCAGCTTTCAATATTTTAAACGCGCGGAACAGTTCAGTGGAAGTTACACCAATAGAATATACAAAGTTATGACGAAGGTCACGAACACATTAAACCTGAATCGAATTACTGGTAGTATATACTAACGGCCGTAAGCAAAGTTTTGCCCTAACGAATTTTCGATGGCGGCACATACCTTATGCTCATATTTACTATTTTATTATGTAGCTAATATGTCAGATTTACGATCGATCAATGTTTCTGTGGCATGTATTGTCTAGCTGCAACAGGTCGCTAAATTGAAACATTAAATTAGAATATGAACTTTAAACCAATAAACTGAACGAGGAAGAAATAATAAACCTCCTCCTATAATAGGCTCCTCAAGACTAAAGCCCCATTAAATTTCCTAACCTGTAAAATACACAAAAAATTATTAAAATAAATTATGTAATTCAATTAAAAATACAATAACTAAAAGCCGAAACTGTACATCCTATCAAATTATGAATATCAACTTTTAATTTAAATGTACAACTACCATGCTTACAAATCCATGATCTGTTTCAACTAATTTTTTTGTTGTTCATATCACAGGTAGGTGTACATTTCTTTACAACTAATTGTAAATATTTATATTATGTAATTTTCTTAGATTTGAATTCGTTTTTAAAACACCTACATCAAATTATTTGACCCAGGGGAATGAGTATCCACAATTTGATTATTTCATCCTATATGCATCAGAGCTAGGCAAAGCCTTCACCAAGAGAGCTTGAAGCCCTAAGCCCAAAGTTCTCACTTAAAGCCTCATTTACACATTAAAATCCAAAGACCTTGAATTATTTACTACTTATATAAAGCATTTAGATCCAAATCCCTAAGCGTTTTGAATGTGCTTTAAGTACTTCGAAAGAAGTTCAAGCACCTTGAAAAAGGAAGCCCTTTTAATTATAAACTATAAAGTACTTCATTTACCACGGTCCAACTGCTTGATCATTGGAGGACTTGAATTTCAGTACTTCCAAGCCCTGAATGGTTCAAAAGCACACTTTTAGGCATAAAGCAATAAAGTTTTGCCCAGCCCTGACTTGTATACAGGAGTATGAGATTTAACAATTACAATGCGAGTAAGGCAACTCATATTCCTCCACACTGTATGTTTCAAATGTAAGGCATCGTTACCCAAGATGCTACTCCTGCATTTCAAATTTATAGGTTATAAAAATAAAATTTTGCATTACCATTTCTGGAACACACGCTAACAATTTTGCCGTCAAAGTGATGTCTTCAAACTGTTCTATATGATCCAAACCGTAAAACTTATCGTCTAATTTTCGTAGGCAGGTTCTACAAGATTGATTCAGGACTTCCATCTTAATGAAGCTCCTTATTCACATTTGCACTGTTTACTTAATGTTTTGTTTTTATATTATCACTAAATACAACTACTTAACACTACATGTTTACTTAATTATTATTTAATACACCAAAATATTAAATTTATTTCCCAGCAAAAGAGCCAGCTGATGGTCTGAAGCTGTTGTAAGGTGAATGACCTTAAGCTGGCGGGAAAATGCAAAAGTCATTTTTATGCTTAGTGTTAAAATAAACATGATTATTATAATTATTTAGAACGCAATTCTTACGACGAAAACTTTTGACTTCCATTTGCCCCATTTATTAGAGATAACTGTTTCGCCATTTGATGTTGCTTATTAAATACTACCTTTTTGATGTACAATGCCGAAGGTTAAAATTATTTCTGCTGTTAGAGAAACTCAACTAATTACAAATTTAATTTTAATACGATCGATCCTTTTGAGATTGGAATAAAATTAATATTCTAGCTATTTTATAAGTTTTATATGATTTATTCTAACTTCTGTGTTTATTTCAAAATGAAGCTAGCAAATATTTTACGCAAGTATTCACGTATTAAAAATTAAGGCAAAACACTGATCTTGAACAATAGCGTAATGTTTTGCATAAAAACATTATAAAATTACGTATCATGTAACCGCTTTGCAGAACTCATTTGTCCATAACAATTCAATTCTCTAATACTTGATTATGTAATTCGTATGACGCGGGGATTTTTACAATGATTGTACCTTTCGAAATATGACTTACTAGGAACACTTTCGTAAGCTTAAAATAGTTAAAAATAATGTTAGTCTAAAGGTGTGCGCACTTATCAACTTATTAAATTGAGTTATCTTTATTAGTACTGATTAAAAATTAGAATAAGGGGAACTATACTGAAATATCAAAGGTACTTTAAATTTATTAATGTGTTTATATGGTGGATCATCCAAAAACTGGTTGTAATAAAAAGGAACTCCAGTTATGATTCCGGACTGCTTGACTCACTATTTTCGAGTCTATGAGTGTCATTAAAGAAAAAGTTCAATTGCCAAGGACACAAATTGCCAAGAGTATATCTACATGTTTTTGGGAGGTATAAATGTAAAGGCATAAAACAAGTTTTTTAAGTGAGAATCCATGAAAAACCTTCAATTGACCGCAGTAAGTACCTGAATGACCTGTATAACCTCAATTTAACAAGTGGCTCTCTACAAATTTTTCAGTGTTATCTTATCATGACTCGAGTTTGATGTTTTTGTTCTGTTTTTGTAGTATGTCCAGTTATTAACGAAACTAGTATCAACCTAACCAGTGAGACTTTACGAAATGGAGCTGACTTGTGCTGTTCAGAGGTATGATTGGGGTAAATGTGGAGCTTATAGTAAGGTAGCCTCTTTTTTCAAAAATACAACGCCCGAATTTGAAATTGAAAAAGAGACCCCATATGCGGAAATGTGGATGGGTACACATCCTAACGGGCCATCAAAAATTAAAGCAACTGGTGAATACTTAGCTGATGTGATAAAATCAAATCCTGAGTGCCTAGGTAAAGATGTGATTGAACAGTTTGGTACTAATTTACCATTTCTCTTCAAAGTTCTCTCGATTCAAAAAGCTTTATCCATTCAAGTTCATCCAACAAAGGTATGCTTATATTTGTTAGAAACTCTGTGGCATTTGTAAGTAGGTACATTTTATAAAAGATTATCATCTCATCTTCAATTATAGATAAATAAAATGCCATTATTTCCTTTCATTGTAGGAACAAGCTGAAATATTAAATGCAAAGCATCCAGAGCTTTACAAAGATCCAAATCATAAACCAGAAATCGCTATAGCTCTTACACATTTTGAAGCATTATGTGGATTTAGAAAGTTAAGACAAATTCAGGAATTTATAAAAGGTGGCAAATAGAATCAAGAAATTAATGTGTAGTAACTGAATAATTATAATTCCGGTTGCTTTCAGCTATACCAGAGTTACGTGCTGTGATGGGAGGAGAAATAGTTGATAAAATACTCAACGATGAAGAAGGTGCTAAACAGTTAGGTTTTAAACGTTTCTTCACATGCCCTGAAGATGTTATGGCAACTCAATTGACAGCTTTAGTTGAAAGGTTGACTGTTTCAGGTAGAAACTCAGATTAATTAGTTTAACAATCTAAGCTAATTGTTAAAAATGTAAATAATCAATCAAGCATCACCTTTATGCTTAGGTGTCAGCTATTCTACTGCATGTTTATCAAATTCATTTATTTTTGTGAATTTCAAGTCAACATCTTTTTATACGTAACAGCTAAGATTTTACAGTGTAGTCCAATTTCGTTTAGCTTAGATCCTGCAAAATTATGTCAGTTTTAATTTGATATTATAATATGATGTTTTGTCTGTTAAGTTGTGTAACGTCATATGCAGTGATTTATTGAAGACTGTCTATGGCGAGCTCAGATCTAATAAGATCGAAATCTCGATCCACGTCTAGTAGTTTGGATAGATTGCAGACCCAAGAGTATACGATTTTTATTGAATGATATATAGTTAATAAGTCATTCAAGACATATGTAATTTCTTCATTTGATCGCTTAGCTGCCAAAATATATCTATAGATTTTACCCAATAGCGTCAATTGATATCAAAATCAGTGTGTACTCCTACTGATCGAAGGAATCCTTCCTGGGTCATGTGGGAGGTATATGTGGCGGCTAATATGCTTATCGTAATAATCACGATCAGATACAAATCGTTCGAAAAAGGACGGTTGAAATTCTGGGCATCACCTCGTTGCGAATTTGAAGACGTATTTACGTTAAACCAAAATTGGTTGTATGTTAAAAATCCTTCAGGCATGCTTCGGATTTTCACTTGACTGTTTGCATTTTATTAGGTAGTATCGTTTCTAAACGATTTGTTTAATAAGGAAGTAGTTGATAGAATTTTCGTTTTCTATTTATTGCTGTTGCTAATATTAGTTTTATAAAGCAGTTGAAGTGCCCTTTGTACTTATTGTGGTGAGATACGGTTGAATATATTTAAATTTATGTGAATAATTATTTCAGACGATGATTTCCGAAAGAAAATGTTGGGGCCATTAATTGAAAGACTGTATTTCCAGTTTCCTGGGGATTGCGGTTGTTTTGCGGTTTACTTTTTAAACTTCATTCAATTGGAACCATTACAGGCTATTTATTTAGGTGCTGGGGAACCCCATGCCTACCTTTTTGGAGGTATTCTTAACATACCATCCACATACACTTTCTTATATATTTATTTGAGTATATTCTTTAGATTGTGTCGAGTGCATGGCTTGTTCTGACAATGTAGTTAGAGCTGGCTTAACTCCAAAGTATAAAGATGTTGAAACGCTCTGTGAAATAACTAATTTTAAAGGCAGTCTTCCTGAAGAAAAGATTTTTAAGCCTTTAAAGGACGGGGAATTTTCTGTAATCTTCAAACCACCTGTTAAGGACTTTACTGTTATTCAGTATGAGGTAGTAAAATTTTCAGTATCAATTCAATGCTATATTTTGCAGTAATCTAATCATTTTAGATTCCTGTGTCAGTAGGAAAATATAAACTGCCTGCAAGAAATTCAGCGTCTATAATTTTAATTGTAAATGGAACAGGTGCATCTCAGCAGAAACTGATTCCAGGCACTTCAGTGTTTATACCTGCTTATCAGGAATATGAAATTGAAGTTCTAGATGATTTGTTGATCTTTCAAGCTGCTGCTAACGTATAATTTCCTTTACTTATACTTGCACATATCACGTACTATATCCGCTTTTTTGATTTGCATTTTGTTTTTGAAATTTTAATTTTTTATATATTTACTCTTGTATTTATTATTTACATTTTTACAGCGAGTAGAATTGTTCAGTATTAAAATTCATTGTCCTCAAAATTTCGACTAAAAAGTTGTGATACTGTCTTTTAACAATGAAATGATTATTATAAATCATTCATCAGACATTACTCTTATGTACTTCGTAGTTAGTTTTTCCTTTTAATGCAGGTCTTCACAGTATTAAACTAACACTAAAAGATGCTAGATTTTTGTATGTCATATTTACTTAATATATAAGGAAACTTAAATAGACTGAGAACATAAGAGGGTTATATTGGGATTAGACAGGGAAAATGGGAGTGTTAGGAACATGTTTTCTTTGCCTTCACGAAAATGTTAACTGTTTTATCTATCTGTTGAAAATAAATTGTAGTCAAAGTTACACTGGGTACTTTGTTTTTTTAACATATTTCTATTGGCTCCATGTTGATAAAAACATTCGAGTGTGTCCAGTTTGGTCATCGTTTAGTAATTATTCTAAATAAAAGTGTTTTTGAATTTGCAATAAATGTACTCATGGACTTTTACTGAGTATATATTAGCTTATATCACTATTAACACCTAGAACATCTATTAAACGTTCAGCCGAATATATTATGTTTAATATGTGCTAAAACTTAGGTACTAAAAATGATAGTTAATTACTAATTCATTCTCAAGAAATGATATTTTGGCCATCTTGATTGATCCTTCGGTCGGTTATCAGTCTGGAAGCCAGGAAAATTTTTCTTAACAGTTTACACCAGTAAGGGCTTAAGCTACATATTAATTTGTTCATCATACCTTTCTAGCTCATTTGTTAATTATTCAACCTACTTATTTATTTTAAAATAAGCACATCACATAACCCGCATTTAACTATGCCACGTCATTGCCTTACAACCGCCTAAACATTTGCTTGGGAAACAACGTTGTTTTCTTTTGTGCCTAGCCGTAACAGAGTATGCCGAATTTTATGAACTACAAATTAAGTGAGCCACATATAACCACCCTAATATTATAGCAAACAAAAAAAAAACTTTTATTTTACAAATACGATTAAATCCCCTTCAACACATTTGATGTTTCAACTCTTACTGACTCTTACTGGCAAAAGTTTTAGTCTAGAACAGTGGACAGCGGAGTTATATGATTTAGAAGCTACCTATGCTACCATCTAGCGGTTAGAAGATGATATAAATCACGTAACGCTGCGAGAGTACAAAGAAAACAGTACATGTCCATTATACCTACATATATATACTTTGTTCAAATTGATTTTTAATTTTGTTTTATTAAAAATTAAAATATATTTATTGCCTTCAAACGTAAAGTTAAAATTTTATTTAAAATTTTGGTGGAGGCGCCGGGACAATTGCAAGCGAAGACTGTAATTGAGCTATAATTTTAGTCGTATTGAAGTAGATTAATTAATTTTTATTATGAAATTATACTTTTTCCATATAGATGCAGTTTATGGTGGTAATTTATATTTTTCTAAATTAAATTACAATTTGTTACAAGACAACATATAGATGACCCAACATACAGCAAATATTACAAGTATATATTGACTTATTGACGATAACAGTAAAGAAAGCCAGAAAATGTTTTTCTTATGAAAATAACACATGAAACTCAATTTTTTTTATGTCTTTGAATAAACTACAAAATATTACGTAGAAATAATTAATTAATTAGAAGTACTCTTAAGACATCTTGTAAAATTTGGTTAAAAACATACACTTTATTTGGAGATGCTATTTGGTATTTAGTTATTAATTACGAGTATTAAATAGATTTGTATTGTGAATTATTGTTTAAATGCTGATAATAAAACTTTAATGAAGATATACAAAAAGGTCATTAGTGATTATCAAAAATTTTTATTAAAAGTTTTGGTGGAGACGCCGGGACAATTTAAAATAACCGCTTTGATTAAACAATAATTTCGATTTCATTGAAGTAGATTAATGTATTTTTATTCTTTTTTTGTTGATGCAGTTAGGGATGCTAATTTATATTTTTCTTTTAATGATAATTTGAATGGGTTGCAGAACGGTGTGCTTCATATTTGCATATTAATTTGATGAATGTTGAATTTTCAATTGCGCCTGAATTTATTTTCGGGAATAATTGTGAATAATCATTATTTAACACATTTTTATTAACTTTTATTCAAATAAACTACAATTAATGATCTTACAAAATAGACCAATGTATATTGCAACTGTATTTCTGTTTATAAAAAGTTTAGATTATCTCTAGTGAAAAATCTTTTTTGCCATAAATAAATAATTTGCACTTTATTTCAAACTGACACATACGCCACTTAGGACACCCTGACGTGCTTATATCATATAAATTTAAATTGACCTGAATCACTACATAGGGAGAAGTTATGCGGATTGAAATATGAAGATTCATTTTAAAGGATTCCAAATTATGATTCGCCACCTTTGATTTCGCAAAAACATATTTTTGTCAAAACACGTGCGACTTTATGACACCCTGTCGCACGTATATCATCCAAATTAAAATTTCATTGAACCACTGTAGAGAGCGAAATTTAGCGCGTAAAAATCGGAAATTGACAAAAGGATCCTAAATTATGAATCCATTTACTTCGATTTCACTTTACGACACTGTCGTTACTAAGTAAATATATTGATTTAAGATTTTTGAAACAATTTGCTATTAACTCACTGAAATTCAAATATTTTCTAATGATAAGGAAGGAAATTATCCTCTTTCCTTATAAGAAGAGAAATGAGTAAAACACCTACCCTTTACCCTTTACCCTTTGTATATCTATTATCTATGTGAGTAAAATTTCATGGACTTCCCACAGAATCATCACAGAATCAGGAAGGCGAGGATGACGAAGTATTAAAGTTATTTTTGTATAGTTAATTGTTATAAAGAAGTTTAAAATTAAATTTAAAAAGAACATTCTTATTTAATAGTCAGAGACATATTAGAGGCAGAAACAGGAGTCTGTAGAGAGCGAAATTTCGCGCGTAAAAATCGGAAATTGACAAAAGAATCCTAAATTATGAATCCATTTACTTCGATTTCACTTTACGACACTCGTCGTTACTCAGTAAATACATTGATTTAAGATTTTTGAAAAAATTTGCTATTAACTCACTGAAATTCAAATATTTTCTAATGATAAGGAAAGAAATTATCCTCTTTCCTTGTAAGAAGAGAAATGAGTAAAATTTATCATGGACTTCCCACAGAGTCAGGAAGGCGAGAATGACGAAGTATTAAAGTTATTTTTGTATACTTAACTGTTATAAAGAAGTTTAAAATTAAATTTAAAAAGAACATTCTTATTTAATAGTCAGAGACATATTAGAGGCAGAAACAGGAGTTTGGAGGGGTAGAGGTAGACCTAGATTAGATTACTGTTCGCAAATAGTTAAGGATGTGGGCTGTTCTAGTTTTAGGGAAATGCGAAGTTTAGCTCAGGATAGGAAAGAGTGGAGGTACGTGTCCAACCAGTCTTAGGACTGATGACCTTATGATGATGATGATGATAATTTAAATACAATTTGTAATATGTATAGGCAACCCAACAGTACCTAAATACTGCAACGCTAATGTATATAACTAGAAAATGTTATAAAACGTTTCTTTCTCATGAAAAATATTTTTTTTACGTGAAACTATACTAGACTCGAACAAACCACAAAATATTACATAGATTAAGTGGATGGTAATTCAATTGAAGACGTATATTCTTGTAAAATGTAGTTGAAAATCCTTACTCAATTTCATTTGGAGCTGTTAAAATGGTATTTAGTTAGTTATTGGAAGTGTTTCGTTAATTTTTACTGTGAACTATTGTTTAAATACCGAAATAAGACGTTCATAAAAATATATAAGATAATAAATAATCATAAAAATATTGTAAATTTTGGCGGAGGCGCCGGGACAACTTTAAAACAAGCTATAATTGAGTTGTAATTCCGTTTTGTTTGAGGTAGAGTGATAAATTTTATTGCTTCAATTCGTGTTTATTATCGTTATTAAGAACTGTCAAAAAATTACTTACAATTTTGGCGGAGGCGCCGGGACAACTTTAAAACAAGCTATAATTGAGTTGTAATTCCGTTTTGTTTGAGGTAGAGTGATAAATTTTAATTTTTAAATTATAATTCATCCGTATCAATACAGTTAGGGATCTAATTAGTATATTTTTTTCAATTAAACTTCAATTTATACATATACTTACTTATATCGACAACCCTACATACAGCAAATAGTACAATAGTCAATGAAGGAGAACAATTATCTAATAATACATACATAAAATGACAATTACACCGACCTTAGTTCTAGCTATTAAAACATGAAATTTTTGTAATTACAAAGCACTTACGAGTTGTTTTTCTTATGCAGTAACATTGTTGAAATTATAATTGCAGCCAATGATCTCGTGTAGTAATAAATTTTTAAACAAGAAAAGTGGCCTTCTATGTTGGATGGTCTCGCATGATTTCGTGCATGAAATTAATTTAAAAGCATTTGTTAATTATTACAAATTACAACAAATTCCTTTTTTATTATTAAGTAGGCAATTATTTTAAAAGTTTCAATTTTATTTTTATTACAACAGGTCCAAACGTTATAAAAACAAATGTTATCAGCATAAGGTCTTTGGACCGAAGACTGGTTAGACAGGCACCTCCACTTCTTTCTACATTGTTCTAATTTTTTTGCAAACTAGACCGTATACCTACACCTATAACTATTTTCCAGCAGATTAATGCTTAATGTTTCTTTAATGGATCTGATTTTACCCTCTGAAATGCAAGTGTACATGCACCCTTTGACCCAGTGTTATAAATAAAATTTGCGTAGGTATAATGGCGTCTTGTAGTTTTTTTAATCATTCGTGTATCACTAATTAATTTGACGAAAGGAATGAGTAGAAATGAGTTAGGTACTGAAGAAGTAATGAAATGTTTAACAGATTGTCAAAATCATTTCTTTAATTCATACCTATTCAACTCCCTATTAAAAGCCTTAAATATACTGCAATATTCAATGTGAATATAAGAAGCAGTCCACTTCCAACGCTTGAATGCCAAAAAAGGAAGTATTTACGTATTCTTTTAGCCATTGAAACAATAACAAACCGTCGCAGAAGATGGCTGGATTATCCTCGATAATTTATGCTTGATGTTATTTGTAAACAAGAAAATCTTGATCTATCTCCACATTTTTATATTTTGATTTGTTTTTTAGCTGTAATAACCCCATATCGTATTAGAATATGTCTATTTTTAATTTCAATTTAACACCACTTCACCAAACAAACAGGTAAATATCATGCTTTCAAATTAAATCTAATACTTTTCAAGGTAAATCTGGATATCATAATCAAAAACGTTGATCGATACCAAAACGAACATTTCTGCTTCTCTTGATTGAAAGTTTCAGGGATCCAAATTCCAATGATTCAAACGCATTTCAAATGCAGTAAGACGAAGGTAAAATTGTAGCGCTCCCATCTGCGTTATTGGAATGGGGGAAGTGTTGTCGGTTAATACTCTCACCACATTAAAGATTTCTGCTTAAAGCACTGTCCTCCCCATTATCCTTCGTTTTGAGGCGATTTTTGATGTTCGTGTACTGACAAATGTGCTGCCAAATATTATGTATCAAAGCATCGCTTAGATACTGGTGGTTTTATACATCAATTACATATGAATTATAAAACTGAAGTACACTAAATAATGAAGAGCTAATTTTTAATTTACAAACTATATAAAGACGTCAGAAACTAAAAGTTAAGTAAATAATATGCGGTTTGTTAAACTATTGTACTTATATGATGAAAGGAATGAGTAGAAATAAGTCACTGAGGAAATCTCTATAAAAGCAGTTAAATATTCAACAGAATTTCAAAATCATTTCTGTAATTCACGCCTATTAAAATCTACCAAAATACTGACATAAACAGTTCACATTTCTTACGTATTTGACTTTAAATTATATTTAGTAAAAAGAATAACTTAAAAAAAAAAACATTGCAAAACATTTATTGTAGGTAATGTGGAGGTTGCTCAGTTTTATTACGTTTCCTTGTTGGACATTTTGAATTATTACGTAAGTCAGGAGAAGTTCGTGAGTTAGAGTAGCTGGGTGACATATCATCATCCTGTATCATCGTGACCTCCTACAAACTCCTGTTCACACCGTTTTATAACAGTTCCTTTCTGCCACGTTAGCTTCCAAAAGTTGCTCCTCACTTTAGACGCCACCAGTGGATTTCGACTTCAGTCTTGAATCGTCCCTCCTCATTTGCCGTTCTTAATTCCGTTCAGTCCATTCTTTGCCCGTTTACGTCTGTGACTTATTAACTGTAGGTACTCAAATCTATAGGTTACTGTACCGTATGTAATAAACGCTTGCCGGTAATTTAACTGAAACGTTTTTGCAGCATTGTATGTGAAATGTTGCATAAGTGACTACATCTTCGTTTGCTACTGGTCTTTTGGATAAGTACAAATCGTCGTAGACAACATCATGCACTACTACCGCGTGGGAAGATTGTTTGTAATTGTTTTGCAACTAATCAACACCATCAAGGTTTGCAAATTTTCCTTTCTTTTGTTGTATAAGAAATGTTCACAGTTTGTTATTCAATCAGGCATAGGTAAACAATAATATTGATTGATAAGATCTATCGATGAGAAAAATAATAGAAAACAGTTTTAGGACCAACTCATTGTCGGAATTATTTACTCTTTTGGGATTCCTTTTACGAGTTCTACGCAATATGACAATGTCCGAAGTTGAATCCAGAATTTTGTTAGAATTGATAGTTTTTGCATCTCCTTTTCTATCTATTAAAGTCTTTTTTCAAACTCAATGTTTTATACTCTGTCTGTAATGGAGCAGCTACTTTCCATGTTAATATCTGGCAAACCGAGATGAAAAAGGAAACGATTTCAATTAATCAGAAATCAAACTGTAGGTGGAAAATAAAATCTAAGTATTATCCAGGATAACGGAAAAATAAAATAAGCTTTACTATTTCATACTATTAGTAACAGATTTTGATAGAAATATTTGTTAGGAAGTCTGTTTAATTTTTTCCCTTGGAGCGTTTGCATAACAAATTTTTAATCGGTGATCTGTTCTTTATGAAGATTATTTTCCTGGAAAGAAAAACGTAGGTACCTACTTAAACGCCACCACATATATGACTACGGAATGAGCATATCGAAAAAGGAACAAAAACGAAAAGCATTTTCAACTGACATAGAATTATGTCTTTTATCATTTTTTCATTCACTTTTATCTGCTCCTGTTTTCATTTCCTATTACCTCGTCTCGTCATGAATGTGACGAAAACAAAGGCGTGGATGTTTCACAAGCTTAATTACCATGTGTCCAGACAAAGCATACGCTTTTTTCAGATTTTTATTTACGAAGTACATTCGTATTTTTAATAATTGTTAATTTTAATGAATGTATGAGTATCAAAATTTTACATATACAAATTCCAAAATTAAGAAGTTTTGTGCTTTGCTTAGCTTTTCTTCTGTTTTGTTTAATTTTCCAGGGGGAAAAGAGGAAAGTAACTTTCAGATAGAATCATATGAAATTTCCCCATTAATGTTGCCGTATGTAAGGGTTGAAAGATAAAGGAATTCATTTTAAGAGAAATACTTCAGCTTTGAAAGTGTGACAAATTTTCATTAGGAAAATTATTATGCCTTGTGATTAGTAACTATAGCTATACAAATTTTCCTGTTTCTGATATATCGGAAGACTTCCGTTTCCAAATTCAGTAGTTAAAATACACTTCATGAATTTTCAATGCCGTGTAAGAAATCGTGACATTTAACTGTTCTGTGTGCTTCACAGTATACTTACTAAAGAGATAATATCTTTTTCTACCTATTTTTTTATAAATAATGTACCACTCAAGCAAAACTAATGGCTTGAATAATTGCTGAGGTCAGCTCATAATTTTCAATAATTATAATGAGGATACCCGACTATAATTCATTCATAACAAATTGCTTAATGGAAAGCTTTACGTAGGTACTGTCCGAATATTGAAATTGAAATGGTTTTATTTGTATTCAAATTGCACAGTTGTTGTAACAATGTTGGCTTCTCATTGAGGGAAATTGAAACTTGAGAAATTGCGTAATTTAAAAAGGGTCTACCTAGCTCTACTTAAGACTATCCCTAACTCCTTTAGCAGATACTAATGCTTCTATATCATCCGAAAATCTAAGCGTGTTAATTTTTTGCCCCTATAAATTTATGCCTAAATCTTTCTTTAATAATATTATTCGCATCTTCGGTATGTTACAGTAAAAAATAACGACGACAAAATGTGCATCTTTGTCAAGTTCCCTTCCTAATATTTATGAGTAATTTTAGAGATTTGCTATGTTTTCGACATCTTTCCTTTATACTTATTGAACTTATGGCCAGTGTAAGATTAGGAATATGTTCCATGATCGATCATGATCGATTCCCTTTGTATATTGTATAATCCTATTTCGTTCTATCAAGATTATTGTATATCATATAATTTGCAAATGAGATGCATTTTCATAAGTTTCATTTGGCCCAATAAATGTTACCTTATAATTTTGTTGCCGAAGTAAGTAAATTTTAATAATCGCTAAATAATGTTGTTATACTCGTACATACACATGAAGCAATCGCTGCAAAAGAACTTTCCTTCATTCTGTCCGACCTTTTCAAAGTCGTGACGATGGAACGATGAAAATGTTAAAAGACAGTTATGAAACTAAGTTACAGATTTGTATCTAAAATATTCCGATATAATAAATATTTCGACACTGCCCACTCAATAAGTACTTACATGTATTGCATTGTTATTTTTACGTATATACTTATTTGTTGGGTAAGCATCACATATGGCATATCTCGACTCGACGAAAAACTAATTATTCTGAATAAATATCGCAATAATTATTTATTACTTTTGATGTGCATGAAATGAAAATAAAATAAAAAGGGAAAAGGTGTTAAAAGGTTTCAGATGTGATGTTATAAGTTGTTGATGAAAATATCGTGGATAGAAGAGATGGTGTTGGAAGAAGTATGAGAATTAAGTGCATGCGTTATGAAGAAGTCAATAAGGAAAAGGACAGATCAGATGGTAGGACATTTTCCAAAGCTGAAAAAGTAGTAAATATAGAGATCTATATTAGATTGCTGTTCGCAAATACTTAAGGACGTGGGATGTCTCACTTTTAGGCAAATGCGTAGATTGGCTCACAATTAAGAAGGATCTAAAAAGAAGCATCTGTGTATAGAAAAACGATTTCTGTAAAGACGTATTCGTAGCCAACCATTTACGGTCTCCTTTTCAGGATGAAACTATAAAGAATAAAAATTATTGATGTGTTGGTTGTTGAATCAAAATAATTGAATTCACCGTTATTTTAATAATAACTTATCGTCTTCCATAAGTGTACAATTCATTAATGGAATGACGCAGGAGTTACGCAAGTTATAAGATTATGAGAGCACGATTCTTTTTTTTTTTCGTTATGCTTCCATCAGACAATGAAACGAGATCATGGTGATAGTGGACTCGAAGAACTGAATTGGTCTATTATTTGATCTAGGACGAACCGCGATGTTTAACCCACACCAGATCGTCGACCTTCACTTTCACCATTAGCGTGTCTTCGGAAATAATTTTATTCTGCAACTTCTGTTACCGTTAGGTCAAACCAATATAAAGTGTTTTCCTCAACGGGAACCAACCTTTTTTTTTACCTTTTCGCAGTGAACGTTTACCTAATTATAATTTATTCAAATGAGAAGCGCTAAATGGTGGCGGAAATAACGACACATTGATTTACTTCTTCTCCGTTCTATTCTCTTATTTATTAAATTCACACCGTCTAAGAGAATAGTACATAAAATTTTAAATGAAAAGGAAACAAAATAATTCGAATAATAAAACGTAGCATCGTACTACAGATGGCGTTTATCGCGCCATTTGTGGTACTTTCTGAAAAGGAAACACTTTGAAAGAAGATGAAAAATATTAAATATAGACACTTGCAGTTGACAGTTACGCGCAACCTGCCAAAATTTTACTCTCAACACGCTTAAAAAGGTATAACTTCTAGAACGTTTTTTTTTTCAAGTTATGGGCCTTTTGTCTCTTACTAAATAGCAGATTAATTTTAAATTTACATTTAAAGGTTGTAGTTTGGAGTAAATAAAGGGGTCGCGACTTGAAGAAAAGAAATTCTTTAGAGCCGAATTAAAATCGTTTCTTTTATCAAAGGATGAAAGAGGAGGGGCTGAAAATGGGTTTTCGATAAAATGTAATACATAAATTTTCAATAGGTGTTCCGTTCGTTTATTTTAGAATATATAAGTTTTCAAAGTGCAACAAGTTTCGTTACATCGTTTAACTCCTTGAATCTCCAGAATAAACGCATTACTATTTCCAATCAGATTATATCTACTAATTGATTGATTTCAAAGAATAACGCACTTAAAAATGATCTGTATCAGTTGTAAAACGAACCTTCACATCTGCAGTTGATGTGCCCTTGTTTCTAACCTTCTCACTTTGTCATGGTCGATATTATTACTCAACAAAAAAGTAGGCACTTATTGTGTATATTTGCGGGTGTAGTGTACGTTTGTCTTGATAAATCAGTTAAGATTACGCTATTATTCTAATATGCATATCATTTTAATTAATATTCGTGTTTACTGTTACGATTTAACATGCTACATCATTGAAAATATAATTTGATGACTAGTGAAAGAAACTGATAAGATGTCACAATTGTATATCCCATCGTCATTTTTGATATTACATATTCTGGGTGCGTACAGTCAGTAACCGATTTCTGAAATTACAGGTACATACGAAAACGACGAGAATTATGAGACTATAGTCGCATATTTGTTAATGACTTCAGTCTTTGTCATTTTTTCTTTGTCCTTAAAGGACGTTCAGTAAGCGCATATGCATCGATCGAACTATTTCGACCTTTGTGCAAATTCCTTCGAAATGCCGAGAGGATTGGCTATTGCTGTATCACCGGATCCGTATTGGGAACACAGCAGTACAATAATTGTTAACGTCACGCATAAATATTTACAAGTTTAGGTGCCATTTGTTTGTAGGATGTTACTATCAAAAATTGAACGGCACGGCTTAGAGGTTTAGACTATTGCTTGGCATTTGGGAGGACTCCGGTTTGATTCCGGGTCCGTCTGCCTTGGTTTAAGTTTTTCTGTGGTTTCCTTGGATCACTTAGGCAAATGCTGGGACAGTAACATTCCACTGATAAAATCATTCATTCTCTTCTGTCTTCATTTTCCGTTTCATGTTTCTCATTCGAACCCATCGCCCACTTATTCCGACGATTCCTGTAAGGAGACTGAAGAGGGCCTTCTGCTTTACCTACCGGCGTAGTCTGGAGGTAGTGCTCGCCCACTAGCAGTAGTGGCTCGTGGGGATGAAATACTCAAAGTTTTTTTATGATCAAAAGTAGTTGAACATCTCATACAATTCTGTCTTAGTCATTAGCATTTGTGAGGAGGAGGTAGCCAATGTG